GGACATACATACTGATGTTTTATCCTTTGCTTCTATCTTTACTTTGATTGAATTTTTGTTATAAAGTATTTCAGATTGCTTGGATTTTAACAGGCGGTTGGCTAATTTATTTATTTTATTATTTATTTATTTATTAAACCAATTCATGAGTAATTTACTATTGACTCAACACTACTTCTACAAAAACTGGTAAATGAGACTCTAACTGATCATAATGGTCACAGTATTTGAATCTTATATTTTGATATTTTCCCAGGTGACTATTTTATATAAATCCAAGGCACGTAGGAAGATTAATGTTCTGGATGAAAAATGTAAAAGGTTATTTTTTTATATTTGCAGATACAGCGCAACATTCAGAATCACCAACACCAGGAAAAGCTGTCTAATTAAAAAACCAGGCAAGCTAAATTGGTCTAACGTCCTGACAAAGGGCTCCACAATCTGCGTAGAGTGTCAACAGGTTGCTATGGACAAGGCTACAGTCAGATGCAAGGGCCATGGAGTGCATAGAATGGAGACAAGATGGAATGCCGTCAATGCCATAGGCTGTCATGGAAAATGGGAACTCGTCGAGTATCATCAAGAACGCAACTGCGGGAAGGGTGCACGTGATTTTATCTTCGTTTAAATCTTTAAGTCATGACAGTCGCCATCTATTGTCTATATTATGACATCATCAGTCATATTGTGACATCATCATATTAGAGACACTCTCCATGTACAACTCGAATTCATCATATTGAGAAGGCACTCTATATCAATGTACCATATTTTAGTTATTAGCATATTCACACTTCATTTTAAATTTTACGTACTGTGTTTTTAACTCTGTACAAGAATATAGTCAGTTTATCAGATTTCCAAATTCATACAAATAGTTTTAATAGTCATATGTGACTAATCATTTCATATGACTAATTTGACTATATCAAGGCTATGGATAGTCTTCATGAGACTATGATTATGTGTGCACAAGACTTAATAGGTCATGAAAATAAAATGCAATCTGTGTAAATACAACTGTACTGTACTGTAATCCTAGGTAATGGCTCCCAAAAAATCATACGGCTGAACTTAACTGAATTTTCAGAAATGACTCTTGATGTACCAATATGCGTTACTTGTGACAAATTGTTACATGTTACTAATTTGGACTGATGTAACAATATAATGTCTACTGGTAACTAGCTCTATACACTACAGTACACTTAATTAAGTATAATGTAGATGGTTATCAAAACTACCTGTTAGATCTAACTAGAATACTCTTGGATAACAGTATAACGTGCTATGCTCTTAACCAGAAATAGAGGGTTCAGTTTTTGGAACTATTGTAGCTTGAGATTTGGTCAAAAGTTGTTGTTCCAAGAATACAATGGTTTTGAGGGAATGGAAGCTGCAATCGTAACAAAATCTGACCCCAGAGTATCACGAGTAAATGTTTAATTTGTATGCTTTACTTCCATGAATATTGTAAAGATAGATGTCATTTGAGTCAATATATTCAGTTAAGTACTTTATGGCTGCTTTACAGAATGTAGTACTTTGTATAGCATATAGGTGTCACCACATGATGCAGTATGACCATATAGGTGTCACCACAGTATTCATATATGTAAATTACTCATTTTCTATTGGTCAGTATATCTTGAATTTGCATTTTTGATACAATACAGTATGAATTACAAATGAACTGTCATTATCGATCACTATCTGGCAATTTTGAATTGTACCGCCACTTGTTATTATTTTTCTCAGTTTTATTATTTTGTATATAAACCGAATATCACCTCTAAATATATCATATTTAAAGAGACACATACTGATTTCTGATGTCATTTTTATTATTGTTATACTTTAGAAGTCACCTGGAATTGATTGCTCTATCAGAAGTATTTTTCATTTTGAAAAGATTCATGGGCGTAGCCAGGCACGAGGCCTCACAAACATTTTGCAGAAAGTTTTAATTTTTCAAATTGTAACCATAGATCAAGTTGTATGATTGAATTATATTGACTTGACCTCACTTTTTGCTTCATATTTGCCTCTCCTATTTTTAGATTCTGGCTTTGGCCATGGTATTCGATGCATTCTTATATGCAAACTACCCAGGTGAAATTAGGAAATCGGCATGTGCCTCTTTAATCCCTGATTTTTAATACTTGCCTTTCATGAGTTTATGATATGACAATTATCATTTCACTCAGGATTCATTAATGAAACAGATTTTCTTCTACATTAATTTTAACTATGCATTTAAATATGAAGATTTGAAAATGGAATGTGTTTCTGCAGACGGAGGTTTACAGCTTTAAATGGACTGTGTTTAGAGCTGTTGTCTTGCAGTTCCATTTCTCTTTTTATTAGCATTTTATACAACTGTATTCCTAATGTGGTTATGGTATTTTAAGAGGTTAATTTGTAACACCAACTGCAAAGAAGTTTAGGTGCCGATTGTGGGTTCATTATGCCCAAATAAGGAGATGTGTGATGCCCAATTAAGGGCTATATTATGAACACAACTGAAACCAAAATGCATTTATTTCCATGTATGTACATAGGGCCCAACACATGGATTATATTCCGTAGTAACCTGATTGAAAAATTCATCGATTTTCATGATTTTCATCAATAAAAATTTTAATTTTCGAAAGTTTGATATTTTATCAGAGATTTCTAAAATTCAAGCAAATTATGTGGACCATTTTTGAAGATTGTGAAAATAGAATTTTTCAGGGGTGAAGCGATTACATTTATAATTGTTTATACAGTGCATTTTAGAATGTATGCTTTACAATGCTATACATTATTAAATCATTTCAGAAATCTTTAATGCAAAATCTTACACTTTCTATCATTATATATTATGTACAGTCTTTTTAAAAATCCATGTTTCAACAATCATCTGGGATCAAGAATTTTATATTAAATATTGAGCTATGCAATTTTTTAGAATGACTTGTAATCAGAGCAAGTACCATTATTGTACTATGGGTAGATTTAGTTACATAATAATATATTTATTGCATAGATTAAGACGAGGCGAGATATGTAAAAAGGAAGTTGTAGATATATTATATATTGCTTATTATATGGTCTTAGTAATATGTAGATGAACTAGATACCTTAAATAGATGGCGTTGTGGTCATGTCATTTTTGAAGTAATAAAAATTCCAACTTTCAAATTTCCAAAATTTCATTGTCGGATTTTTGAATTTTGATAAAATGAAGTTGCTAAAATCGAACAGAAATTTAAATGAAGTTGCTTTAATCAAACAGCCTTTTATATTATTTTCAGGCAACATGTATATAAGTTTATCACACACATGACCACAATGCTATCTCATACTAAAGGTGTAAAAGCTAAATACTGTATTATATTATGAACTTGAGGTCAACGTAGTAAATAGTAAAATTTTAGTAAAATGCTTACGCAAGAATTTATAGCAACAAACCCAAGTTTGTCAATTAAAAATTAGAAATTGGTCTTTTATATGCCAAATTGTAAATTAGCAAGATCAAAAATAACAACAGCCTGCTTAAAGAATCGCTACCTCAATTAATATGAGACAATAAGGGTATTATTGATAGGTTGCTATAGCAACAGTTTAATTGTCATGGGAACATATCAATCATTGCTGTAGCAACAATGTCCCTTCGGTTACCTTGATGCCAATTTCAAATGAGATTATATTATTTATTGAAAACAATTGTTATCATGGTAACCACAATAGAAAGAAAACAAACAAGATTTTAAAAGCAGTGTATATCAAGAGTTCATCCAAAAATGTGAAAAAAATAAAACCATTGCAATAGTCAAATATATACTTTCTGTGTTATGTTGATTTTTTTTTTTTATAAATGATACATTTAAGCCTTACAGATGTCTGACAATTAAATTGGGTTTTGAGAGTAGATTGTGGCATCTGAACAAAATCTGATGAACAGTGTTCAAGTTATTACCCACACAGTCAACGACCTTTAGTAAGCTCAAAATCTTGTGTGTCCCTTTCCCTAGAAACATAATTTGTTCATATTACGCTCCACCCCCTCTAAAAGGTTGGCACCCTGTCTCCTCTTTGAATTACCTGTTTAAGTCTGTTAATGTTTGAATTTTATGAAGTTTCTGCATGTGGGCATCATCACAGAAAATGTAAAAAACTCATATAATTAGCCTTATGAGGTATTTTAGCTCTACAAAAATACTACTACATTAAGTCAGAAGATAAAGAAACATTAACACAGACTTAAACACATTTGTATTGGTCCAATTGTGAGTTCATGTTGCCAAACTTTTTGGGGGGAGTATTTAATTCATTCTTCCTGTGTTAATTCTCTCAATGACAATACAGTTTACCAAATACATTTTTTGATTCAGAGATATTATTTATTTTATCAAAACAGTATACTGCAAAAAACCATAGAATAGAAGTAATGTAAAAAGGATAAGGTATTATCATGTCAAAATGTCACCACCCAGAAAGTTATGCTTTGTGTTAACAAAAGTGAAAGAATGTCAACTGCGAGTCCAGCAGTCACTTGATATGAAATCAATCTCTTGTGATATCCTAAATAACATTATCCCCATTCTAAAAACAACAAGGCATTAACATGCAAAATGTCACCAACTGTCATTTGTTACTGAAGCCAATCGCTGAATGCTTTTACAGATGCCAAACACCAACTGCCAAACACCAGCCTGAAAAAATTGGAGACTATAACAATATATCATCACTTGTGGTGGTGACATAAAATATATCACCACTTGTGGTAGTGACATAAAAATTAATGTTTTGAGGCCTGTTTTTGTAGGGTCCATCAAATAGCTAAATCAGCTATTTTGGGTTCCATAACCTCTACTGGAAGAGATGATATACTGCTGCTTTACAGCTTGAGCTACCTTAACTTAAATCCAAAGGCTAGCTGCATGGAAAAGCAACTTGCTATCCAGGGATTCATTTTTAGTATGATCATAGCTTACGATTTCGAGAAAACCATTGTCTATTTTTTGGCAAACAATGATGTGTGATCAAATCGTAAGTTGCAACAGTTCCAAAAATGGACCCCAGGGTTGTTAAAGTTTCAACTGCTCAAAACACAAACATGAATATTAAATGGATAAGCTTTCCATTGTTTTAACTCTTATTAGTGCATTATGACATGCTATATCACTTCACTGTATCATTTGCTTCATTGTGATGTCATGGAAATCACATGGTGTTGACAAACATCAATTATGTCATATGTTTCATAATGATGTCATGTGTTGCTAATGCTAGGAGTCCTTAGTTTCAGCGTCATGTGTTATCTTCCTATATATTTGTTCAGTCTTTCCTTCCTTCAATACAGCATACCTTGCTATTGTGAATAGATAGTCACTAAGCCTGGAATTAAGAGAAACATATTATAGTCACACCGGAATAGCCTGACTACGGTAAAGTCAGATACCGTTGTCACAAATGGTGGACATAACCGTCGCTTCAACTGTTTAATCACTTGGTCCTCATTTCATGGGATTTTATCGTCGTAAATTCTGTGCATGCATTAAGCTCTTGTAATAATGTATCATATGAAATCCCATTTTCTATCAAATTGGGTCGTGAATCGCCACAATATAGCCTCTTCGATATCGTCAATGACAATGGAATCTGAATTTGAGTAATTTAGAATGACAACGGCATATGGTAATTACAGTGTCCGTTGTCCCGTATCTCATTTTGATCGGTTAAATTAAAGACTTTATTTCGATGGTAGAACATTATTAACTGTACAATGAGTATTAAGACACTTTGATTGATTGTTGTTCCAAAGGAATTTAGTCTAGGTGCTCTATTAAACATACAGTTCATGAAAATCTAATTGAAGCGACGGTTATGTCCGCCATTTGTGACAACGGTATCTGACTTTACCGTAGTCAGGCTAATCCAGGGTGATAGTGGAGTTGTTAGGGTTTTATGTAAGTATACAATTTACATTAACCTACTATTGGCTTTAAGATATTTCAATCCAGGAAGTGTTCACCATCAAAACTGGTATTCACCTTAAAATTTCTGAAAAAAGGTCAGAGTTCGTTCAAAATTAGACTGATGTTTTAAGAAAATGGGCCCAGAGTGTAAAAACTGAATCATAGCCTTGTCACTCTTGATTCTTGTAACTTATGCCCTGTTCGCCATCTTTAAATCAAGTTTTCTGCCGAATAATACTCCAAATGACATTTTGACCAGAGTTCAAAGCCCGGGTTTCAAAGTATGTTCAAAGCCTGCCCAACATGATACAAAATTAGAAACAGGCTGACACTTACCTGTTTAAATATTTAACTGGGGCACTGTCCATCTCACCATGCCTCATAAGAGGAACAACTCTGAAATGTATAAAGTTATGTTATGAGTTTTTGTATATCTTAAGGGAAATAAATTATATCTACCAATAGCTAGAGATACTGTCTTTATACCCTTGTCTCACTTTCTTTTGTATACCCCGAGGTAGACAATTTTTTATGGGAGTTGTGAAATTACAGAATCTTAAGGTGATGTCACCCACCAGCCTCTAAATGGCTATAACTAATGTCAGCATTTATTTCTCAGTTGATAAGACGAGAGGAGACTTAAAGAAATCCAAATGCAATTTTTCAAAAATGCTAAAAAGTTAGGCATTGTTAAAAATTTTGTTGAGAAAAGTATCAAACAGGCTGGAAATTAAACATCCATCCGAGACATTGGACTTTGCTGGTGCCATGGAAAGAAATGAAATGTCCATGATGATAATTTTCGCATTTTTCGCATACCTGCGTTCTGTTCTTCTGCAAACAGCTCTAGCTAAGTGTAAAGATGCACTGCATTTGCCTCCAGACTGCAAAACGAATAAAACAAGCTAAGGCATAACATGACAAAAATATTTTCACAAGGTGAGGTATTACAAAAGAAGCTAAAATGTAACAATTTGTCACAGATGCCACCACCAACTTTTGACCACGCATCACAAGAAATGGTGCCTATAACTATACATGTATGTCACCACACAAAAAATTTTTAATTCAAAATTGATTAGACATCATTCATGCTCATACACTGAGTATACCAAGATGTAAATACAGAATTTCATTGGAATTTAAGCAAACCTAATGCACACAGCACTGTCATTGACATTTTGATTTTTCAATAGATAACACGGAATAAAATCCAGCTTACAGGTAATATAAAGTTCTGTAGAGGTGGTAGTTGACTGGTGTAGTGGTCTATCCAGGTTTCAAGGTCCTTCACATTTTCACTGGTGAACTCTGTCAAACCTGAAATATATATCAGTATATGGCACGTGTAGACATTAACTTGACTCATTCACAAAATAACTAGTGTTCAATAGACCTTGCTGTACATTCAGGAGTGTAGTCAGAATTTACTCGAACCTCCGAGCCCCCCCCCCCCCCCCCCCCCTATGGCTACGGGCCTGACATTAGATAAATAATAGTTTGAGACAATGGAGATTTGATTTCTTCATGACCATTGACCAATGGCTACACTATTATGTTTTTTGCATACTGTGTTTTGTAGTACTCTTTGGTCTTGGGTATTTTTGTTTACATATTCAACAATTATCACATAGTTTTTTTCTTTGTTTTAGTTAACCCAACTCCTTTTCGACTTTTCAGAGACTTAAAAAGGTCTCTACCTCAGTATTCAACTCTGCAATTTTTTGAAAAGACTAGTCTCGGTTTGGAGATTGAAGTTCATCAGTCTACTTCACATTACGCCTGCTTTGGACAATTTTGACATTTTTGCATTTAGTAGATTTAAATGTCCTCTTTTAAATATCCATAATTTAATTTGGGTGATATTTCTATATTTTTCATAAAAAAAGTATTAGTGCAGTACACTGATTAACTTTTTTCTCCAAATCGAGACTTGTCTTTTATTGAATCAGTCTACTGCACGTTACGCCTGCTTCTGACAATTTTTATACTTTTACATCTTGTAGATTTAAATATCCTCTTTTAAATATCCATAATCTAATTTGGGTGATATTTCTCCATTTTTCATAAAACATTATTAGCGCAGTACACTGATGAACTTTTTTGTCCAAATCGAGACTTGTCTTTTATTGAATCAGTCTACTACACATTACGCCTGCTTCTGACAATTTTTATATTTTTACATCTTGTAGATTTAAATGTCCTCTTTCGATTACTCCTTATTTAATTTGGGTGATATTTCTTTAGTTTTTATAAAAATAATTATGAGCCCATGAGACTGTTCTCCAAACCGAGATCTAGACTTGTCCTTGCTCTCAATTTCCATCAATTTCTTCTCATTAAGATTTTATAAAGTTAAGATTAGATTTGACAGGGATCAATTAGTAATGTCCTTTGGAATGGAATAAGCCTGAGAGTCAGCCGAGGTAAGACTGTAACGCTAATTGAAATTGATGATATGCATTTGAAAAGCCAATAGAAACAAAGTCATCAATTGTTCATATGTAAAAAAGTGGAAACAAAAAGTAAAAATGTTAACTCAAATGTAGTAAATACTCTAAATTGTATAAAAATGCAAGAAAATTGGTAAGCTTATTGAAAATATAGAGAGAATGTGTGGAATTGGCATGATCATTTTGGTAGGGTTAGACTTGCACTATAATCTGTCGTAATTAGGTTTATTTTCTCACCCAATAGGATTAATGTGTCTCATTACTTTCAATTAGATAAAGTTGTATCAAATTGGCTTCTTTATTACGATAAATATCACCACGTTACTTTCACCATTACATCAAGTAAAATAAAAGAACATTACCTGAAAAAAATTGACGACTGGTCATTTTAAATCTAACATGTGAACAATAGAAACATGGCAATTTCTTCGTCACAGAATGGATTAAATAACTTGATTTGTCAGTTTTCTTGCTTCTGCTATGACTTCAAAATCATTGATCACTATGATATAACAAAGGTTTAGAAACATTGATTTGCATTCAGCTTGAACTTTTCAAAAACCTGACATTCTTCACTGATGAAATTCTCCTTCACTCACAAACAAAATTAGAGTTGTTTCTCCAAAACTTCCACAAAAAGTGGATTAGGCCTGATCATTTTCTGTAGGGTAAGACAAATAACATCTTTCAGTGTAAGCTACTTATTAGGTTTTACTTATCACCCATTATTGGAAATTAATTAATGTCATTACTTTCTGTTAGATGAAGTTTTATCAAATTCAATGCTTCATTAGCTAAATAGCTCCCCATTGACACCATCACTAATGAAACCTAGTTGGTATAACATGTATTACTAACCGTAAACTTAATTCATGAAATAAATGATTAAAAAAAATGAAACTTCACTCTCACGATAAAGTTAAACCTGTATATCCAAACACCTCTCTAATCTGAACACCTCTCAATATGAACACTTTTACTCAGTCCCTATTTTTTATTATCTCCCATTGGCTCATGATTAAAAAACCTTGAAATGTGAACACCTGTTAATCTGAACACTTTTTGCTGGTCCCAGTGGTGTTCAGATTAGACATGTTCCAATTTACTGTAGTAGATATGAGTTTTTAACAATTCCTCATATAATACACCTCTTAGACAAGTTTTACTGTATGCCTGAGCAATTGAGAAATAATGCAAATGATGACATACTCAAGTGACTCTCCCTTGCTGAACTCTTAGGTGTAGCGATTGAAGACCCGACATCTTGCAGAATACATTGGATCTGAAACACACAAAGTCATAAGACAATAAATATAAATACCCTGAATTCTAGTATGCTAGCTACAACAACCTCTGACTTACAATATGATTTTACAGTTTTCACGTTGAAAGGTTTTAATTATCTCAAATGGAATTATCAAAAAGATTCTATTGGAGTTCAGGCTTGTAAAAGATGGGTTTTGGTAGGAAGTGGACAGGAAATGTCAAAGAACTGACCACTACTCTGAATCCCTGACAGCCAACTACATTTCCCTCTGACAATAGTAGATGATTTTACAGTTTTCATGGTGATAGGATCTCAATCAAGTTAAAATGTGGGAAGTTGGGATATTCTGATTAGGATAAGGTTAGATTAAAACATTATCTCAATTTAAAAAGATTAGCTAAAGTAGTAGAGTTTATATAAAGTTAAGATCTTGTGAAGGGTACACATAAAATTGTTGATAGACAGATGAATGGACAGCTGGATGAATGAATGGACGGACAGACAGATGGACGGATGGACTGAATTGTAGGGTACCTTGTCTAGTAGGCCTAATAAGTGTCTCTAGCTCTTACATTTTGCCAACAGAGGGTCAAAGTGTAAACCTGGAAGCTAGTTGGATGGAAGAATGGATAGACAGACGGACAGATAGACGGATGGATGAAAAATCATCACCCTTTTCAAGCTTCCATATTTTGAGAAATGAAGATTTGCATCATAGACTTCCAAGTATGAATTAATTAATTAGGTTGCTAAGATACACTTTCTGGTGGGAATTATTCATAGGTTGTGTCACTGTATTCCAATTGACGGTAAAGATCTTAAGAGGACGTGCAAAACCCCAATCTTATTTGACAAAAAAAATCAACTTAAGTAATCGAGAATATTTAATCAAAGAAGACAAAAAGAATGCAAATAGAGATAAATTAAGAGTTTCCTGTTGCTATGACAACATCAAAATAACATAACAACTTTGTTATTTAATTCACATCAATATATTTATATAAATCGATGTGTCAGTGCAGTTAACACATGTATTGCTCAATGTAGACAAGTTTATAGATTTCTTTGTAATAATACAATTTCCATTGATTTTAAGGAAGAAATAATGCAAAATCAGTCTCAAGGCCATAACAATATAATATATGTTTAGAACTACTGTGCTATTTGTAGTGAGATGGAGATAAGGCATTTTCATATTAAACAGATTTACTAAATATGTGATATGTATTTTATATATTAGGCCAGGGAAAATTTTTTTGTTTCTGGTCACTTTGCTTTCAGATCTGAACCCTAGACAATGCTTTTTCATTTTTTTCATATTTCAAAATTGATTTTCTCTTTGATAGAAAAAAATTTCTGCCACTTAACAAGTATCAAAAACAAAACAATTTTTTCTGGCCTTATGTGCACCAAGTTTTGAGGATATGTTAAACTATTTTTTATCTCTCCTAGCCTCAATTGAGTTTTATTTTTCATTTGTACTGCAAAGATGGAAAGTTCTGTCCACATAGTGCCATAAAACGTTCATTAAAAGGTTGAAAATATTTTTCTAACTTTCGCTTAATTTCATAACTCATAACAGGATGTACTTTATATTTATTGAATTTTTTTGGCAGACAGCCATCATCGTTAGGTTGAATTGAAGGGCTTATGCAATAATACCCAACATTTTCGTTATAATAAAAAGAATCTTTATCGTAAAATTTTGGCAAGTTGAGGAAACCTTCAACATCTCTCATCGCATATACTGGTTGTTTCAAAAGATACACACTCTCTAAGAAGAGAATTTGTGAACGGGGAAAGATTTTTAGATATTTTTCTGTGGGAATGTCATATCTTCCACGTTGTATGATCTCTTCATCTATATTCACGTCACCAGAGTAATTTAAGACAAAATCTTCAAACTGTTTATCAGCATGGTATTGTTTGCCTCGGATGTCCAAATTATGAAGATATGCTGACATTGTTCTCCAAACGGGATCGCAAACTAACACTATCAGCCTCACTTTGGGATTCATTTCATACAAATCAGACGGATCAGCCATATCAAAGTAGGATGGTGTTTTTTCAAATGTAACTTCAGTGTCTCTTGACAGTGGCATCATGGGAAGATAACGTCGTTGAATTTCATCGTTGAAAGAATTATTTGGGTTGATGTGTTTTTCTAAAGCTTCATTACTGTATTTGTCAAAGAAATGAATTTCTTGCAAATAAGTGCCTTTAAGATTAGGATGGATCCCCATAAATGACCTTAAAGCTCCAGTGCCACATTTTTGAATCCCAATTATCACACATCCTGGAAGTTTCCTTGAATAAGATCCTTTAACATTGTCACTTTCAGTCTTATATTGTCCCGTAGCATAGCCAAGCTCCTTTAAATGAGGGGTATTCATAATTTCCCATGGAAACGTTATCTTTACCATATTCAGCTTCACTAATGTCAAACGTATCACTAATGTAACAACAACAAAAAGTACAATCTGCCGAACAGTCCTTCTATGTTGGTTTAACTTCAATTTCAAATTTTCCATCTGGGGTGACATTTCAATATTAATTTTTTTAACTAGCAATGATGTTTTATGAATATATTCAGAATATAAGTTCTATGGCTAGTTGTAAAAATTTGTAAAAGTTGTAAAATCCTTCCTATTGTTGCCCCTTTAATATTTTTATGGTTTTAACCACAGCTTTTAACATCTTTTTAACTAATCATTCTCATATTTAAAGGGATCTATGTATTATAAAAATTCCAACTGAGGCCATATAAGGTCATAAAATGAAGTAATATTTCCCATAGAATGCCTCCTTATGTACAAATTTGAAAAAAATACTGTAAGTATAAAGGTTTTTGAAGTGTTAGCTAAATTGTGCTAATTTTATAAAGGAAGACAAAATAATTATTAAAGGTTAATGAGAACTATAAGTAAGTAATGAAGCTTTAACAAATACAATGTACTTACAAAATGATATATTGTATGGTCAAAGTATCACCAGTAAAGGCATTAATCAAAGTTAAGTGCCATGAGGATAATAAACTTCACACTCTTCGTAATAAATTGTAGTATTAATACACTTTCAATACTGTCATATTCATAATAAATTGTAGTATCAATACTGTCATATTCGTCATAAATTGTAGTATCAATACTGTCATATTCGTAATAAATTGTAGTATCAATACTGTCACATTCGTAATAAATTGTAGTATCAATACTGTCATATTCGTAATAAATTGTAGTATCAATACTGTCATATTCGTCATAAATTGTAGTATCAATACTGTCATATTCGTAATAAATTGTAGTATCAATACTGTCACATTCGTAATAAATTGTAGTATCAATACTGTCATATTCGTCATAAATTGTAGTATCAATACACTTTCAATACTGTCATATTCGTAATAAATTGTAGTATCAATACTGTCATATTCGTCATAAATTGTAGTATTAATACACTTTCAATACTGTCATATTCTAAGACAGGATCTTTCCATTGAACAACCCAAAAATCACTAACCTTGCTTTGAGGATTATAAAGACAAAACTATGCAAGAAAATGTTTTCTTGACCCCTTACACAATCCCAGAGCTTGACTAGAAAACAACTCAGAATACATGTCAAAAAAGATACATTTCACAAACATAATACCAAACTTTCATACAGTACTACCAATTACAATCATGCGCATTGGTTGAAAGATTCTCATTAAAATGTACGTTCATAGAAAAGTCCATTTTTGTGTTACATCATTGCCTCTTAGGAATAAATGAGTAAATGGAAACCACAGACTCTCTTTTATTTAAATAAGAATCCTTCATAAATTACGCCATAAAATCACGCCATTGATATTTTCCCTGTACCCCATTTGTTTACCTTCATCGGCTTTAATTGCATTAATTGCCACGTTTTATTGGAGTTCCGCATTACGCGACTTTCTTCTATTGATAAAGCATAAAAGGATCAAAACAATATGACAATCTTAATTGATTGGTTAATAAATACTGTTTGAGAATCAATTAATAAAACAGTTAATTATCTTTGCGAATGATTTAACTAGACAACAGCAACGCCAAAGCGTAGCAAATCCCATCGAACAGCCATGGCTGGCATATTTACAAACAAAGTATATAGCAAAAATGGCAGCCATTTTTCAAAATGAGCACCTTCTACCAAAAGTGTCATTAGACAGTGTGCCATGCTTATAGTATTCACATACGAACAAAATCGCTCCCCTACTTTTCGAGTTATAGTAAAATACGTTAAAATGGCGGCCATTTTTCAAAATGGCCACCTTCTACCAAAAGTGTCATTAGACAGTGTGCCATGCTTACAGTATTCACATTCCAAATATGAACAAAATCGCTCCACTACTTTTAGAGTTATAGTAAAATATGTTAAAATGGCGGCCATTTTTCAAAATGGTAGCCATTTTTCAAAATGGCTGCCTTCTACCAGAAATGTCATTGGACAGTGTGCCATGCTTATAGTAGTCACATACCAATAGCTTTATTAATGTCCTATATAATTTTTTTACATTTAAAACATACTGCTATTACAGTTTTACATATTTCACCTAAATTACTAAAATGGCACTAAGCACTAAAATGGCTGCCATTTTTAAATGAGCAGCCATTTTGAAAATCGGCTTTTCAGCAGAACTTCTACCCCCATAAGGTACGAGTATATGTGTACAAAATATGAACAAAATCAGGCCAATGGTATTTGAGTTATTGCCCGGATGGACGGACGTACGGACGGACGGATGGAGGCGTTCCCTATATCCCTCCAAACTTCGTTCGATGGGATAATAATTAATGTGTTATAACAAGTAAAAGAGATTGGGCTAAAACATGTCTACCTCCAACCTATGGCATAATTAATCTGGTCGGTATATCCCAGGTTCTCTTGAGTGGTAAATATGGTAGGGTTTCAAGCCCCTTGCCAAGATTTGCCAAGGGGGGGTTCACTTTTTGAAAAATTCCAGGCATGATTTTGAAAGATTTTTTGGCCATTGGGGCGGGGGGGCGCTCGAACCCATCAACCCCCCCCCCCCTGGCTACAGGCCTGGGTTTAATGGAAAAGTCTATTGAATCTTTGAAGCTGGAATGAAAAATGTGTTGACACTCTACAGGGTGGGCCAATACTGGTATATTCTTTAATTGAATTGATTTTAATTCTTTAGTATTACATTGAAGAAGAACTTTGAACATATCTTTTTAGTATCAAGTAAAATACTGAAAGATGTAGAATTATGTTATCAAAAGTGTCCAGCAGTCGCACTTATACATTTTCACTTCATGGCCTTTAATGTGCCTAATGGGGTTTCCATTAAAAGATGTAAAATTTCATGCAAATTAATAAAATGCTTGCGGAGCTGAGTAATAACCAAAAAAAGAAACAAACAAGTGGGTGATAATAATGGCTCACCTCATAAAAAGGTAACGTAAAATGAACTGAAAAATGTTCAGGTTTTCAGCCCTCCTTGTAACACCTTCATTTATCAGAATTAATTTCTTCAATAGCAAGATTCACACTGTCGTATCTCTCAAGAGACTTGATAGTACGTGTATATGTAATAATACAAATATTCGTACATTGCCGGCATTTTAAGCAAAGGACCGGAAAACGAATACTTCATCGTTCTAATTAAGCAAGGTAGACTGGTCCTCACCTAGTTACCCTAACGAATACAAATATCAATTCATTGTCACTTTAAGCAAGGGACTTTAAAAGGATACTTCATCATTTTAAGCAAGGGAGATGATAGTATATAAAGCATAATATTAATCCATTACTGTAACAATTTAAGACCTGACATAACAGGCTAAACTGACATTATGAACAAAATACAAGGAATAAAGAACACTTATAATTTACATAAAGTATGAGGCATTATAACTGGAATTAAATAGTATGCATGGTGGACATAAGGACATTTAAATAAAAATAAAAACATAATTTTTAATAAAATATTCTTTTATCATTTATAGCAACAAGGACATACAAGGTAATTTAAAGGGGCTGCAAAGAGAAAAGATGAGTGGGGAGAATCTCTTTTAAAATGTTCACAATTTCACAGTTCTTACTAATAAATATTTAATAATGCTTTGTTTTGAAGATTATTTGGCAATTGTGGAAAGTGGGTGTCCCCCTTTTCAATATTCTATCAAATTTGGACTGCATATTCATTTTTAAATATTCTTGATATTTCTACAGACGTTTCAATTCTTTATTCAGAAGATTTCTTCCAACAATTCACATGTATCTATGCTTTGATGCCTCTTTAAATATTGAATTCATTTAAAAATAACATAAGCAAGATAACAAGACATATTACACGCATATAATTTGCACTTTATATGAATAAGTTATACGTGTGATCTCTATAAACCACATCCGGGATTACTTGATAAAACTTAAGAAATTATATCAGTCGATTTTACGGAAAACATCAATTCAATCACAGATGTCTGCTCAACAATTAATAAATCAGCTACCATGGTTACCCATCGTCCTGTTGTAACCATATTTCCGCACTTGACTCTTTAATGGGAGAATTAAATGACAAGATTTACAAGATCGTTGAGAAGAAATTGTAGAACAAATATATTGGAATATCAAATCATTTGGAATACATAGACTAAAGATATAGATAGTTCAGGATGGACACGACAACTGCAACAAACACAATTCAAATGGCTAAAGGACCTCTCATAAACAATACAAACACAGAGCAGATGGAGGGAGGACCCCCCATAAACTACACAAAAACAGAGGCTGTCATAATTGGTTTAATTCTGGCAATTATTGCAATAATGACCATATTTGGAAATATTCTCGTTATTGGGGCGACAATTATATCACAAGGCTTGAAAACCAAAACGAGGTATTTTATTGTATCACTCGCAACAGCCGATATTCTAGTCGCAGTTCTTGTGATGCCATTTGGAATCTACCAGCAAGTGAACAATTTATTCTGGGATTTCGGAGATTCAGTTTGTAAACTGTCAACTTGTTTTGATATCATGTTTTCATCTGCCTCAATTTATAATCTACTTTGTATCGCTATAGATCGTTACATGGCGATATGTATGCCGTTTCACTACCATAATCTCACCAAGAAAATAATTCTTGGTTTGCTCATTGGCTGCTGGACGATGCCAATTCCATATTCATTTTTAGCGATTTTTATGGAGTGGAACTTGATTGGAATTGAGGAGATTTATTCAATGATGACATCACAGGGAAATACTTGTATCTTCCTGGAGAATATCCCTTATGCCCTCATAGCATCTACCATATCATTTTTTCTACCGATGATCGCATTGATTGGAATATACACAAAAATATTCTATATCGCGATCAAACAATCCAATCAGATTGCTGCATTGAATGCACAGGTTAATCCAAAGGAACAAAAAAATATGAAACACGAAAAAAGAGCTGCGAAATCATTGGCGATAATAGTGGGTGTTTTTCTGATTTGCTGGCTGCCATTTTTCACGTTCAACATTCTTGACCCTCTCATTGGATACAAGATACCATTTGTACCGTGGATGGTTGTTCTGTGGCTAGGCTGGATCAATTCAATGTTAAATCCATGGATTTACTATGCAAGCAACAGCAAGTTTCGGTAAGGCTCAACTGCATATTGAAGTAACATATATACATGGTGGGCCGAAAAAAACGCCACTTTTTTTCAAAATGCTGTAACTTTTTTAATTTTTGATACAAAATCATAATTTGCATACCAAATGAAACTTGAGGTTGTTATCTAGCCATGGATCATGAATTATACACTTTTAATTGAATAAAACATGTCACCAGAGTCTCACTTAAACATGTGGTGTGCCATGAGAAATAAGCATTATTTGCAAAATGTTCCTGAACTGATACGCCCTGATGACCGCCAAGCTAATAGCCCTAATGCAAACCCCAGTGAGTATAGGGTATGGGAAGGTCTCCAGGAGATGGTATGAAGGCACCCAATCTAAAAAATTGCTCAACTAAAGCTGGCAATTAAGACAAATTGAAAAAAATATAGCTAACATTTCATTGATACTGCTATATCAGCAAGGCGACCAAAACTAAAATCTATCATCAAATAGAGTGGCGGACCAATTGAACTCCTCTTTTAGATCAAGTATAATCCCAGTTGAAGGACTTGTTACATTATATTATTACTAAGAACCCTTGGGATTTTATAACTGCAAAATTTGGGGTATGTAGGTTGCAAAATAAAAAAGTTATAGTGTCTTGAAAAAAAAGTGGCGTTTTTTTTGGCCCACCCTGTACACACAGTACATATTGTAGGTTTTTATCATATCAAAGAAAGAAAGAAACAAAATGTTAAATGAACAAAATCAGGTTAGATTAGAATTAGTCGAAAAATTAGCTTTACCATCACATATTAGGACGCAGCCACTTTTATTCAAATATCTACATTATTCATTTATTTTCTAGGTCCGCGTTTAAATTTATGCTTTCACTGGGGAAGATACAACCAACAGAAACAGACATGGGTAGACAAAGTACTACAATGTACAAATAATAACCTACAGGGTGTCCCAGAGATGGACATATTTTGAAAAACTACTACAATGTACAATTAACCTACAGGTGTCCAAGAAAGGCATAGTTGGACAAACTACTACAAAGTACAAATAACCTACAGGGTGTCCCACAGATGGACATATTTTGACAAAGTACTACAATGTACAATTAACCTACAGGGTGTCCAAGAAGGGCATAGTTGGACAAAGTACAAATAACCTACAGGGTGTCCCAGAGATGGATATGGGTTGACAAAGTACTGTGATGTACAATTAACATACAGTGTGTCCAAGAAGGGCATAGTAGGACAAAGTACAAAAAACCTACAGGGTGTCCCAGAGATGAACATGGATTGATGGTTGATTTACTATAATGTAGTAATAACCTACAGGGTGTTCCAAAGATGGGCATGGTTGGACAGAATACTACTAGTAATAACCTACAGGGTGTCCCAGACGTGGACACAGGTGGACAAAGTACTACACTGTACTTATAACATACAGGGTGTCCCAGAGATGGACATGGGTTGACAAATTAATACACCAGTCAAATAACCTACAGGGTGTCCTTAAAATAAACATGGTGTGGACATCAAAACTACAGTAGGCAACAACACACCCGTCCCTTCGGATATAATGACTTTTAAAATATTGTGTCAATATCATGAAATGTGAAATAATTTGAATGAAATGCTTACTGTTTCTAACTGATGCACAAAGTCATGGCCTTCATCAAGACAGAACTCTCTTGCAAGTCTGGAAATAAAAAATCTCCATGTTAAAAATGTGACAAATAAAGGTGGTCCTAATGTTAAAATAATGTGACAGATAAAGGTGGTTCTAAAATAATGTGACAAATTAAGGTGCTCCTTATGTTAAAATAATGTGACAGATAAAGGTTGTCCCAAAATACATGTAATGTGACAAATTAAGGTGGTCCTAATGTTAAAACAATGTGACAAATTAAGGTGGCTCACTTGTTAAAATAATGTGACAAATTAAGGTGGTTCCCATGTTAAAATAATGCAATAAATTAAGGTGATTTACACAATGTAACAAATTAAGGTGACAAATTGAAGTGAAAAGAAGAAGTTATTTACTCTACCTACTTTAATTTTATTATGGAGTTAAATTGCTGAGGTTTTCATCTACCCCTGCAGATTCTCAGATATTTGAAAATTGAAAGAGAGATAGGGATAAAAACCTGGTGAAACTTGAAGGTTAGGCCAGAAAATCTGCATTAATTTCATAAAAATACAAACTTTTACTCTAATCTTGGTATATACCTAAGACTGAACATCAAGAATACTTACCCGAATATTATTCTTGTCAAAAACAAAGGGAAAATAATAATGCTTACCCAATAGCACAGCTTAGTTCGTCATTCGATCCCAAAGCATCAAATATAATGTCATCTTTTATTCTTCGTTCACCTGTGAAAGTAGCAGAGGTACCTAAAAATGTACAAATATAATATATCTGAATGTATTGTTAACATATACAATATATCTGAAAATATTGTAAAAAGTATACAATAAACCTTAATATATTGTAAACATATAAAATATACCCCAGTGTTCTCGCGATATCTGCAGGTGGGTGCTTACTTCACTCATTTTTCAAATCAGAAGTTGGAGTACAGGGTGCCAACTGGGGGGCCTTTGGTTTCAAGTAGGGGGGCCCCGGTAAAAGTGACATGGGGAGATCACCTGAACATATTGTAAATATATACAATATACCTGAACATATTGTAAACATGTACAATATGTCTGAAATTATAACAATGTGAAAGTTAACATTGTTACAATCTACAATCTGGATTGTTGTAATCTGACAATGTGAAATATAACATTGTTGCAATCTGCAATCTGGATTGTACAATCTGTATTATACATCCTCTCAGAATGGCAACAATCTTAGCAATACTGCAAAGTGCAGATTGTTGCAATGCGTGCAATCTGCAATCTGGATTGTTGCAATCTGACAATGTGAAACATAACATTGCTGCAATCTGCAATTAACGTAGCAATGTTGCAATGTGCAGATTGTAGCAATGTGTGCAATCTGCAATCTGGATTGTACAATCTGTTTTATACATCTCCTCTCAGAATGGCAACAATCTTAGCAATACTGCAAAGTGCAGATTGTTGCAATGCGTGCAATCTGCAATCTGGATTGTTGCAATCTGACAATGTGAAACATAACATTGCTGCAATCTGCAATTAACGTAGCAATGTTGCAATGTGCAGATTGTAGCAATGTGTGCAATCTGCAATCTGGATTGTACAATCTGTTTTATACATCTCCTCTCAGAATGGCAACAATCTTAGCAATGTTGCAATGTGCAGATTGTTACAATGTGCAATCTGGATTGTTGCAACCTAACAATATGAAATATAACATTGTTGCAATCTGCAATCTGGATTGTAAAATCTGTTTATACATCTCCTCTCAGAATGGCAACAATCTTAGCAATGTTGCAATGTGCAGATTGTTGCAATGTGTGCAATCTGCAATCTGGATTGTTGCAATCTGTTTTATACTACTCTCAGAATGGCAAACAATCTTAACAATCTTAGCAATGTTGCAATCTGCAGATTGTTGCAATATGGTTTATACTTTCAGAATCTAATATAACCTTAACATTGTTGCAATATGAATATTGTTGCAATGTGGATTGTGCAATGTTAATAATTAATATTATTATATGATATACACAATCTTTGTAATAGTAAACTATTTAGATGGTTACTCAATAGCAAATATAATGTGCAATATAATGTGTACACTATTGGTGTCAGCTTAAGATTGGCACAAGAATTTTAAATCTTTTATTATGAACGTGCTGAAATATAGTTTTAATTACTTTCATTACTTTGTTTATTTTTTATTAAGAACTCTCTCTTTTGAAGTGGGAGAGTTGTATGTAGCCCCCATGCTTTGTTTCATCATATCATATGTTGTTAATGAGATGCTGTTTCATGTGCAGTCTCTCCCCAAAGTGATATCTGCTCATTAAGAATAAATTAAATACTGTTCAAGATAATGAATATTAATTAACATGGCCAATACAGAGCCAGTTGGAGTTACAGTGAAATGTAAACTTATTCAAACTTTGATTCATCCATATATCATAGGTGTTAGTTGAAATGAAGTCAGTGTGAACATGTACAAAAAGGGAGATCAGCTTAATCATTTTCAAAATGTAACTCTTCAAAAACTTGGACTGACAAAGGTTAATTACTTTAAACTCATCTCTAGTCTTTGATATCCTTTGTGAGGGGAATCCATTTAGGCCTATTCTATTTTCAAGATGACATCTGAATCCAAATTATTCACTGGAAATCAAATTAGTTTCTACTTTTGAAATGTGTGTAATAATATGAGATTCTAACAATGGTCATTGTCTCTATCAAAAAATAAAAGTGTTACCAACAATTGCCTGGTCAATTTTGATGTAACCCTTTACTGAAAGCAGGTGAGTGCACTCTGATCTGGTCAAAACTACAAATCCATCTAAAATCGATGACATTTGTATCTCCGTCTTCAGCCTTTTGTTGTTTACAATTGTGCTAAAAAAGCTATAAGACCAAATAGGATTTTACATTTAATTAATAAGGTCTCTCTTGGATTGAGCCTTTGGACCATCATAGAACTCAAAACCCACAGCCATCCATTACGATACAATAACTTCCCTAGAAATACAATAGTTAAAGATACTATTAAAATAAGATAATTCTTTTGGAATATTAATAAAAGCAGTACTGTTAGTAAAATTGTTGGCCATTCTGAGAGAAGTATAAATAAAACAGATTGCACAATCCAGATTGCAGATTGCACACATTGCAACAATCTGCACATTGCAACATTGCTAACATTGTTAAGATTGTTGGTCATTCTGAGGGGAGGAGTATAAAACAGATTGCACAATCCAGATTGCAGATTGCACACATTGCAACAATCTGCACATTGCAACATTGCTAAGATTGTTAAAATTGTTGACCATTCTGAGGGGAGAAGTATACAAGAACACAAATGTGTACAATATGTCCCCACCTATGGGTAATCCTGTCAAATGATTATCCTAAAAATGAGTACACAAGACTTTACCGACACAATTTGAGGACGGAGAATACAAAATGGCCATCTTAAAATTTACCAAGAATGACAAAAAATTAGTCAGTTCTAGATTTTCATACTAAGAACCACCCCTGAAAATTTGAAATTGATCCCTCACACAGTTAACCAGAAAACATGTAAACAAGACGTTACAGACAAGATTTGAGGACAGAAAATCCAAAATGGCTGCCTTGACATTTATCCAGAATGCCAAAAACTAATCTGTTCTAGATTTTCATACTAAGAATCATCCCTGAAAATTTAAAATTGATGTACCAAACAGTTCACCTGGAAATGTGTAGACAAGACTTTACAGACAAGATTTTAGGACAGAAAATCCAAAATGGCTGCCTTGACATTTACCCAGAATGCCCAAAAACTAATCAGTTCTAGATTTTCATACTAAGAATCATCCCTGAAAATTTGAAATTGATCTACCAAACGGTTCACCTGAAAATGCGTAGACAAGACTTTACAGACACGATTTTAGGACGGAAAATCCAAAATGGCTGCCTTGACATTTACCCAGAATGCCCAAAAACTAATCAGATCTAGATTCTCATACTAAGAATCATCCCTGAAAATTTGAAATTGATCTACCAAACGGTTCACCTGAAAACGCGTAGACAAGACTTTACAGACAAGATTTTAGGACGGAAAAATCCAAAATGGCCGACAATAAAAAAGTCATTATGAGTTTTTGCTGAAATCTTTTTACAAAATTATCACATATACCTACTGTTAACAATAACATAAGCTTTTACAACAAAGTACACCTGAAATTATTTATAAAGCTACTAAAAAGTTAAAGCATGAAAACTGAAAAACACCATTCAATATGATACAAAGTATTATCGTGCGCTAACTTTTCTTAAAACATTCAAAATGGCTGACATGACTGAGCTGACAGGTCCAAAACCTAATCAGATCTAGAATGAAGTGAGCTGAACAAGATGTTAAAGTTTTAAAAGCAACTGTGAAGCCGTTTTTCTTAAAGTTTGCAGACAAGGATTTTAGCATTTGACTTCAAAATGGCCGACAGGAAGTAGGTATCGAGTTAATTTTTTTTCATCCACATCTGTATGCACTCATAAATTATCCCTGAAAATTTGAAGGTGATATCTGCAGCGGTTTTGGAGAAAACTCCCGGACGTACGGACGGACAGACAGACGGACAGACAGACGGACAGACAGACGGACGGACAGACGGACGCGCCTAGGCCGACAATATGGCCCCACACTATGTGGTGTGGGGACATAAAAACAGATTGTACAATCTAGATTGCAGTTTGCACACATTGCAACAATCTGCACATTGCAACATTGCTTAGATTGTTAAGATTGTTGGCCATTCTTAGTAGTATAAAACAGATTGTACAATCCAGATTGCAGTTTGCACACATTGCAACAATATGCACATTGCAACATTGCTAACATTGTTAAGATTGTTGGTCATTCTGAGAGAAGTATAAAACAGATTGTACAATCCAGATTGCAGATTGCGCACATTGCAACAATCTGCACATTGCAACATTGCTAACATTGTTAAGATTGTTGGCCATTCTGAGAGAAGTATAAAACAGATTGTACAATCCACATTGCAGATTGCACACATTGCAACAATCTGCACATTGCAACATTGCTAACATTGTTAAGATTGTTGGCCATTCTGAAAGGAGAAGTATAAAACAGATTGCACAATCCAGATTGCAGTTTGCGCACATTGCAACAATCTGCACATTGCAACATTGTTAAGATTGTTGGTCATTCTGAGAGAAGTATAAAACAGATTGTACAATCCAGATTGCAGATTGCACACATTGCAACAATCTGCACATTGCAACATTGCTAACATTGTTAAGATTGTTGGCCATTCTGAGAGAAGTATAAAACAGATTGTACAATCCAGATTGCATATTGCACACATTGCAACAATCTGCACATTGTAACATTGAGAGAGAAGTATAGAACAGATTGCAATTCAGATTGCAGATTGTCAACAATCTTACAGAAAAAATGCAATGTGTAAGTGATTTAACATAGGAGTCAATGGAGAAGCAGATTGTTTTCAGTTTGCTAGAGGTACCCTATTGGCCATAGCTAAATATAACATACTAGGTCTACGAGCCTTTAAATTGTTTGTTGTCTACTGTAAATACAACAGTAATACACCTCCATGGTGATCGAAATGACGAACCTTGCGTCATCGATCGCGATCATTCATGACGGGGAATACATTATCAGTTCTGCCTTATATTTATAACAGAGTGTCAAAAATCCAATTAATATCTGCCATTCGTCATTTTATTAAATAAAAGATCCGAATATGTTTAATCTTCAAGCAAAACGATCGAGAGATAATTGATTGTCAACATAAAATTAACGCATTTTCCTGTCATGTCGGTAACCAACGTTCACGAGTTGGTCAGGTTTTGATTGGCACTTTGGGAGTTAATTCTATGAATTGTAAGTATTGATGTGAACATGGTCATGTTTTTCTCGAACAGGTGATATCATATTATAGTATGTCAATATGCCAAATACATCGTCAAAATCTTCAAATTGCTCCATTTTCTTGTTAAGAAGTTCGTAATATTTTTCAATGTGGCCGCCCCACTACAATTGCGCATGCGCATTTTTTCGGGCCAATCAAAATGCTGGAATTTGTCGAGTCGCAGTGACGCCGCTCATGAATATTCATAGGTAGGTTATGGCGACCTCCATAATCCAGGTGAAGATCCAATACCTCAAAATTAATTCCAATATATCTGCCGATGCATTAGAAGATCGTCGCTCATACCCGGGTCATGTTTTTGATTATAGACTTATTATTCTGATGAATCATAGTTTTTACTTGAGGTTATTATCCCTTTAAGTCTTAATATGGTTGCTATAACAACATGAGGGTAGGGGTGGGCGGAGCAGGTACCAATATTTCTAATTATGAAAATATCTTAAGTGTTATTTTATTAATATTTCTTTCCTTTAAATGGTCAAAATGTTTGGGAAATTGTTAAATTCATTCAGCATGATGTTAATCAAGTACGAATAATGACATTTAGCACTGTGATGTCATAATACCACATTTCAATTATTGATAAAGTTAGAGCATATAGTGCATTACTTCTGGGACAACCCTCGTACTCTATTGACTTCAGTATAAATTACCCTCTCTAGTGAACACCTAACAACACTGAACATTTTTTCTCAAAAAATATTTAATATACACAGGTTTTACTGTATTATTTTTTATCTAAATTAAGTTTTGTTTAAAAGATTTAGTTCTCAGTTCCATGTTTTCCATGTAATTTTTCTAAAATTTGAAAGAACTGCAGGTTTTACTGAGACCAGAAGAAGTGAGTAGCTCCCACAATACTTTCATATTCTATCATATTCGGGGATTCCCCATTACATCATCTCCCGCATTATCTCCAATCAAATTGCAGAATGTGATCACGTTAACAATCATGAGCACTTGCTCTCTCAGTGAGCACATGCGCAAAGTAAATTTGAAATTGTGGGAATGGCGTTAACATTAGTTCAACATCATCATTTCAAACCTACGGTAATACTATTGAAGTTACTCGATCCATACATGTAGAGAATACTCATAAAACTACAGCGAATATTTGGAGATCCATTTCAATGGCAAATGAGGCCTGTTAATAAAATTTGTTTTTGAACATGCCAATACGAAAGGTCATCTTTGGAAAATCCCCCCCCCCCTGACTGGGACTTTTATTTAATTTGGAGAGTCTGTTAATTTGATCCTCCTCACTAAATCCTCTCTATTCCACTCTATTTTACAATTCAAAACATGACCTGCATGACATTTTCATTGATAGGTCCATTATCCTCTCATATTTATTTATTTATTATTTAGACATACACTTTTAAATCAGTGGCACACTAAAAATATTTAGGTGCGCCTACAGTCAAAATACATACATGATCATTAAAATATCTAAAATCGTTCTTATAAGTCAGGTTTAAAAATCTTTGTTAAAAACTGTTTTACCAGTCCATCTACAATATAAAATTGATCGTGCCCCCATTGACTAAGAACATCATCACCTAACATAAAATAGAGTTTATTTTCTGAGGTACAGGATATAAAATAATTAAACACATTCTCATTGCATTTGTCTAGTAACTTACAATAGAAGTGTGTTCTTTCTTTGTTAAAGAAAGAAAATTCTACAAGTCTGTGTTAGATGGAGTCATCTACATTATCTTTACATAATATGCATTTTCCATCTGTCTTTCTTTGTGATTCATAATTGGAATAAAGAGCAAATTTGTTACATCTTGCTAAGAATTTGAGCTTTGATCCATATAAATGTTATTTATACACCTGCACGCCTACTTAGATCTTTACCTCCTTGTCTAATGTCATTTTCATTATTTACCAATTTATTAACTTTGTTTCACTGATGGAATAAAACGCCTTCAGTGTAATATTATTACAACAGTGAAGATATTTATAACAAAAGATTAAAGCTTCTTTCAAGAAGGTAATACAAGAATGTTGGTTGAGATCAAAGAAAATCTATGATAGCAAAATGAAAATGAATTTGTTATGTCTAGGTGAATAGAAAAAACAATTACATCTAGGAGTAAAGGGCATAGACACAAAAGAGAAGAAGCTCTAGCAAAAGAAATGAGAAAGTTTTTTGCTTTATAAATACTTTTTACTCTAAAAATATTTTAGGGTCATATCTTTCCTTGTCATATTTCCTTAATTTCTAAAACTTCCTAAAAATGGGTCCATTGAATCTCAGAGATCTCCCCAGCATTAAAGTAAGTGGGTGCAGCACCCACCTGAGATTTTAGAAACAGCTTCCACCCACCTGAAAATCCATTTGCACCCACATGAACATGAAAAAAATAATGGAAAATTGGCATATTTTGACCAAGGTTGGTCTAAATTGTGAAAATGAGAATTTTCCACCCACTTGAGAAAAAAATCTTGTGGAGAACACCAAATCTATTTGTCATTCAAAAAACATTTTGTTTGTTTATATTTGAGCTGTGGTAAGTTCAATTGAATGTGTTACAATTTCATCAACTCCCCACATCTCTGATGCTGCATTAGAGCTAATAAATAGTTAAAACATTTTACAGAAAATATATTTTGGGGCTAAGTGTTGACAAATTAAGGTCTTCTTTCTTTTTCTTGTTGAGATAAAATTAAGATTTTTTTAAGTGGTAAAATACTGGAATATACGCAGATATCAGAGAACATACTTCCAAACTAGATTTCAAAGGTAATTTTATTGGATAGAAAATATCAATTTTACTTTGCCTGATGTCTAATAAATAAATAAATGTGGTATGTGGATGTAGTTTGGGCCCCTTAAAACCAAAGATTGGGTTCAAATTTTGAAAATCAAGTCTCATTTTTTCATAATGAAATTGAACTAAAAATAAGGCCCAAAAGGCCCACTGATTGAGGCCCTACAAAATTTTTCAAAATTAGTAAGCTATGTGACTGTATGTAAATAATGAATTAACATATATAAAAATATATTAAATTATACTGTATACCTTTGTCCCCTGTTTTTGTATAGATCTTTGGCAGGTTAGTTGCGTCACTGAAATAGAAAACATTTCTAATACAATGTATATGATGTCAGTTCATGTGCTAAAGTATGATTTCTTTAAAGGTAAGGATTACTTTATATTTTTGGGATTTTCATATTTATGCAAATTGTTGAGAGCATCAACTTTCATTGCTTTTACTGTAATAGCTTTCTGGTCCAGATCCCCCATACGTGTGACTTTACCAATAGACTAAATGCAAATAGAAATAATCTTGATCTACATAATTAAAATTCAAAATTCAATCAAAGTGATATCACTGTATCATATTTGAAATCTACATGTAAAATTACATGAGTGTGGTTTTAAAAAAATGTTTATCAACTTTGAAAATTTAATTTTTTGACTTTTAGGTTGGGCAGATTCCCTATAGACTCCATGTTATAAAATCACTAATTACATGCATATTTATAGGGTGAGCCCAAAAATATAACCCAAACAAATGTTATAATTCAGTCATTCAGCACGGATGTAACCGTAACATCATATTTGGTGCAATTAAATCTTGTTTCATTTGTCTATTCCAAATGATCACTATTTTATTGACATTTTATAAAACATACTCAAAATGCCGGTCTTGTCTCTGGATGCGAACTTGAACACATTGGATGGAGTTGTTCTAACTACACACTCACACATGTCTTGTGTAATAACTCTCATCATCTTCAATTCAACTCTCTGATACTTCTTGGGTTGTTAGTTGAGACATAGTCTTTAAAACAGCACCAACGATTAAATCTTGAGGTTCATATCGAGTGAGTTTGGCACTTTAGGCATTTCGACCATATTTTGTAAAATGATCACAATATAGTAACCCTTGGGAATAGACCAATGAAACTTAATAGAATGAAAGAAAACATTGAATTAGGTTCACTAGGCCAAATATAACTTTAACCCATGCTGGCTCGATTATCAACATTTGTTTGAGTTACATTTTTTGGCTCATCCTACAGGGTACCATAATATACCTTTGCACTTTCAATCAACACAAGCATGTGTGATCTGTGAGTAAATTCTTATCATATGTGTTGGAACAATTATCTAAATTGAATATTTTGAGAATGAGAAATGTAGATTCCCCAAATGAGTGGTGTATTGGTGCTCTTATTCTAAAGAGGTTTACACTCTACAGGGTGTCCTGAAAGTATGAGCCCCCCCCCCCCTAGGCAGACATATAGTATTTGTCATATATCATTTTAAAGCTCATTCAAAGTTACATTGATTTGCCAAATGTCATGGTTCAACTCACAAATGGAAAATAGTTACAGGTATTTCAAAATTTAGGGTTTAAATGCGCTTCAAATAGGGATGTATTTTATAATCCTTATAACACCGCTCATGGCATTTTAACTGTAACTGTAACTTTTTACCATTTGTGAGTTGAACCATGATACTTGGCAAATCAATGTAACTTTGGAAAAGCTTTAAAATGATATATGACACATACCATGGAGACATTGGTATATGTCTGACTCGGGGGTGGCTTACTCTACTGAGCTGACAGAAGTCAGCTCTGGGAACTTCCGTTGGCATTGCAATGAAGAGAATAAATTGAGCGCATGCGCAAAAAATTAAGAATGGTGCGCGCCGGAACAGAATTTCTCCAATTTAACTGCAAATTACACAACAAATAGAACTTGTTGACACCACGCGCCAAAAAAAGGGCAAGTAATATTCAATTATCTTCCTAAATACCGTTACTTATGCTAGCGCACCAGCTGGAAGTTGGGGAAAAACGCTTCACACGCCGGTATATTCTAACGGTGTGTCAGCTGGCTTTTGAGCCAGCTGTGTTCAGTAAGGGGTGGCATACTTTCGGGACACCCTGTACAGTTCACTTTCCCTTTCATCTAGAATATTGGTCAACGACTGATCTAAATAGATCTAAATACAGTTTTTACCTTGCTTTTCTGGATAGTAATTTGATCCCAGATGTACGCAATAATCTACCCGAAGTATATAACCGGTTCATATTACCATGACAATCCCAGGAACAAGATGATCAGATTAAAAAAGGTAAGCAAAAAAAGGTGAACTTCAATTTTACAATTTGACTTTAGGCGAGTTTACTTAGTAATAACGGACGTAGGTCAATATTCAAATATTTATATGTTCTTGTTTGGTTGGAATCATATCGAAAATTAAATAAAATCTTATCATTTGATGAATGATCTAAAATAGTACTTTGATTTTGTTGTATCTCTTGGAGCAGAATTGATACAATTAATTAGACAAGCCTATCACCCCTTTTAATTTTGTTTATTTTGGTCCATCACAACTTCCGGTTTCCACTTTTTGAAAATTTTTATTTTTATTTTGGTTTGCTCGAATTATAGCGTCTAATCTGAAGTCTAATCAATGGATGAAATAATTGTATCTGCACCAGGAAAACTTATTCTACATGGAGAGCATGCTGTGGTTTATGGAAAGGTATAGGATGAGTTTGAAGATTTAGGCTGATAAAATTTCATCTTTGATCTTTTCAGAAAATTGATTTTCTATTTGGATCAAATTACTACATACAGTAGTTTCTATACAGACTCTAATGCACAGTGAACTGAAGCACCAGAACTATCTGTAATGGAGAACTTCTCATTATCCATGCCCCAATATGGATACCTACTCTGAAATATCTTGTTATCACTTTTGTTGTAAAATAGATCTACTGTCAGTACAGGACATTTACGCTGTTTGGAGGCTTTGGAGAACGTTTCGTGATTTGGCACTGATTCCAGTCGGATTTAATGTTTAATATCTCCAAGGAATGTGCCATTCACAATATCTCTTTAGACCCGCTACTCGATAGTAAGGGCCTCTCTACATCGCCCATGGTATATTTCCATTGGGTTGGAATTACATGTGTGATTCTCGTGTCCTCAAGAATGCCTATTTAATCTCTTGACTACCTTGAGTGACAAGAAATGATCTTGACCTCAGAAATGACCTTGAAACCCAGAGTGACGAGAAAATCCTTCACAAAGATTATCACTAAAATTTCTCTTATTTGAACAATTTTCAATTGTTTTAAAATGTGTAGATATGATCTCCGCCGTCTAATTTTTTTTACTTTGTTGAGCATTAAAGTTGTATAGGTATGTATTAAAATGTCAAAAGGTGGCAAAACTGAAAAATCGCTGGTTTCAACCAATTTTAGAGCCTGGGATTCAAGAGGTTAAAATGGCAGTCAAATGGGAAGGATTTTTTGTCTCATTGATTTTCGTAAATGATGCTTTATGATCCCATCATTTTAGAAAGCACAATTGGCATCCTTTATTCTCTATTTTAAGACATCCTGTCAAATAATAATATAAATTAACTGATGTTAGAAATTAGACTGTGTATCATTGCATATCGCTAAATAATTTTGTCTGCTTTTTCAGGTTGCTTTAGCTACAAGTCTAAATCTACGAAGCTACTTGCGTCTGACATCATCAGTTGATGAAGACAATGTTTCACTTTCATTGCCTGACATCAACATTAAAAAAACATGGACCACTGAGAGTCTTCAAAATCTATTTAAAGATGTGCATGTGGATGAAATTTCTCAAAACTGTTTGAATGAATCCCTAGTAGATGTCATTAAAGAATTTACTGAATTCAAGGATGAATGGACGACAAGAGATCTTGCTATTGTGTCTTTCTTGTACATGTACAGATGTATTGCAGTCACTGATGGGTAAGAATAATAGATTTTGGGCAGATATAAAGATGGCAGCAGCAATAGAAACCTATTAACATGAATAAACACAGATTGTTTGACCTGCCATCTTTATTTGAAAATTACATATATCACCCTCTTAGACTATGCTACTTATTTGGGCAGATTTGCTGTTTTGAACATTTGGCGGCTACTTAATTTGGCGAACTTTAACCTCCACCAAATTAAGTAGAAGTACAGTAGGAAGGGTGGAGCTGTTTTTTGATCTTGAAAAGTCCCACAGAACAGCAATTTCAAGACAAGTCAATAAAGCAATTTTAAAGTCCCCGTCTAAAGTTTGAAAATATTTTTTTATCATTCATTTACTATTTGCCAGGACTTAAAAAGTGATTTAAGAGATTTTTGAACAAAAATTTTTTTTTGAAAAAAAAGTTGTGAGCATTTCATTTCTCAAATATTCAAATTTCCCGCCTTTTTTCAAAAAAAGTTGAAATTTCTTAATCATCAAATATTTCTTAATGCATTTCAAAAAAGATTATATTTTTAACACCAATGCAAAGATTGAACAAAAGACACACTATTTCAATAATAAAATGTCATATTTAATGGGCCACTTCAATGTTTTAGCTTATCAAAAATATTTTGAAACATTAGTGATGTCACTAAGGTAACAAAAACTTTTTGAAAAAAATTGAATTTTTTTTTTCGATGTCAATCTTTTCTAATTATGCTAGACTTTCATAAAAAACCAATGTTGATTGTCTAACCAGGTTAAAAGGAAGAATAAATTATGTTTTAGATATCATTGTACCATTGGTTTCTATGAGAACTAAAATTTTGAAATGCATTTTTCTCAGAACCATTTTCATGCACTGACAAGTTCATTTCTCGCTTGTTTATCAACCGATTTTCTTAATTTTTTCGGCAAAAAATATGGGAGGATGTATGCTATGCATTGGTATGAATTGTGGCTAATTAGAAGATATGAGTGACCTCTAAAAGTTGGTTTTAAATAAATTCACAAATTTTGGAACAAAAAGTCTATCAAAAAACACTTTTTGAAATTAAAAAAAAAGTTTCACATATCACACTTTGATAACATTGGGTAAGACTACAATATAAGCCAAAGTGGTTTAAACTTTACATGGGGCCTTTAAGATTAACTTAATGTGCACGTGTGGGTTGATTTTTTGAATCTCAACTTACAACTTGAGAGGGAGATTTTTTGTCAACTTCACATTATGATCAGTTTACCTCACAGAGGTGTTTTATTTCACAATTTTTACTGTAACATTTTATGATAATCCCAGATCTCTTGTCTTGTAAAAAGTTATAAATGTATTTCTTTCTAGTTTTGTTATTTTATTATACTAATTCATAATATCTTATTTCAGTCATTACCCAGCATTTAATCTCAAGATTGCGTCCAGTTTACCAATCAGTGCGGGTCTGGGATCATCTGCTGCATTTTCAGTTGCCATGGCAACTGCATTCCTAATATTGACAAAAAAGTTAAACGCTGAGAATATTAAACATAACACTACTGAAATAATAGACATCACTGAGAACAATGATGATACTCCCTCACAAAAGAAACTCAAGTTAGATACAGAATTTGTGAAAAAGTCATCAAATAGTGTCAAAATATCATCAAAACAGGATGATGATCATGCAAATAGGAATCATTTCAGCGACCAAGACCTGGATTTAATCAACCAATGGGCTTTCATATCAGAAAAAATAATTCATGGAACTCCATCTGGTGTTGATAATTCATTGAGTACAAATGGTAGGTAAAATATTGTTTGTTTATATACAGGGTGGTCAAAAAAATGGAAACCCTGCATTTTCCTAATATCTTTATCATTTTAAGAAATTACTCCCTGACATTTCACACATTTGTACATCATTCAATTTCCTACCACCCTACCAAATTTCATGACCATCAGACTGATAGTCACAATTTTACAGCACTTTGAATAACATGCTTCAATTTTGGCCATCATCGCGCTGTAGGCAAACCTGCACAGTTGTCAATGGGCCGAATGCATTCCTCAGCAGGTATGGCCTGAATGATACGGATGATCTCACTTTTTAGGTTTGTGATTGTCCTGAGGTCATTCTCATACACTTTTTCCTTGCCATAACCCTACAGGTAGGGACATTTTGGACAGGGAGTGTAGGTGGCCCGACAGCACAATAGTGGCCACTAGGGCTGTTCTGTAAAGTGCTGTAACATTGTTAATATCAATCCGATGGTCATGAAATGAAGTAGGCTGGTCGGAAATTGAATGATGTACAAATGTACAAAATATCAGGAAGTTATTTCTTAAAATGACAAATATATGAGGAAAATGGTGTAAGGGTTTCCATTTTTTTGACCACCCTGTATATACCCATTTGAAGGAAAATGGTGGTTAAACCTCATTTGTGCCATTCTCTTTATAATTGAATGAGTCACATGATTTGATAGCATTGAATTGATATATCCTTTATTCCTGATGTATTAACTTGATAGTGATGAATATTCAAGTTTAGGGGAACTTTCTCATAGCCTGTCATGTTATCTACCCCGAATTAGCCACCTTGTAGTGAAAATGGTAACTACCTACTCGCATCTGGGTAATTAAATTGCTGCTATTTATTATAAAGTTGGTAAATCTGACAAGTTTACTGAGTTTAAAGTATTGGAAATCTGAATCCTTTGCAAAGAAAATTAATTGTCTGAATTTTAGTTTGATGAATTTCCACCTTGCTAAAAATTATTTGGACGATATAATAAAGTACCTCAGATTCAAATTCAATTTCATTTCAATTCATTAGATAACTTATTTATTCTTTTAACATTATGTTACATATTTTATATAGGTGGATTCATCACATATCAGAAGAAACTACAGGGTGTTCCAAAGATTGAGAAACTACAGGGTGTTCCCAATATTAGGGTGCTTCTCATCAACAGTATGGTACCTAGAAGCACCAAAGCTTTAGTTGCTGGAGTCAGACAAAAATATGATAAGGTTTGTTTGTTTGCATGTTTGATGGAAGACTAATTGCAATTGGCCAATATTTTGAGATAATTGTTAAGATATACACTACAGGGCGTCGTTTGTCACCCTATAGATTACTGTAATTTTTCTGATTCATGCCTGGTGACTGATCACTACATGATGATTGTATGAAATTCAAGAAAATTCATGTCACCACCACAAGTGGTGCCTGGTGATATATTGTTAGTCTTTAACTTTTTTTGTGGACGGTGTTCTGTACTTGTATAATGTTTGCTTTGAAATATTTACAGTTCCCCAGTGTTTTTGGACCTATAATGGATTCCATAGAATCAACGTCCTTACAGAGCAAGAAGATCCTAGAACAGCTGGCAATGACAGAGACACCAGAACTGATGAAATCATTAGAGGTAGAGATTTGTCCAAATATTGATAGTTGTAGGAAGGAATAATTGGTTTTATTTTGGAGGGAGGTAAATGGTGATTTGTCTTGTGCTTAAGTCAAACAAAAATCTCTTTTTCACATGTCATTTTTGGCGTAAAGGAATTTTTTTTTCAAAAATGGATAGGCAATAATGCAGATCAATGTTTTTTATGATCCAAGGTCAAATCATCTTTTAACTCTATCTGGGAAGGAAATTCACCAAGAAAATGTAATTTCCTTTGTAGGAAAGAAGTAGATGTATGTTTAAACAAAACAAATTCTACCTAGTATGTACAGTTGATTAAATTGAATGGAAGAAGAAAATCCTTGTTTCTGTTGTTTCCTCCCAAAGTACATACTCACTTACCAGTTTGGTTTTCATGGCTTGGCAATCCAAGATGCCCAAGTTCTCCTTATCACTCACTTCAATGTGTTGTTAAATCTTTCAGGAATTAATCAAAATCAACAGATGTCTGCTGGATGCTATAGGAGTTGGCCACAAAGACTTGGATCAAATCTACAGGGTGTTACAGACACATGGGTTACCCTGTAAACTCACTGGAGCTGGGGGAGGGGGCTGTGCATTTGCTATTCTAAGGCAAGGTATGTCCCTCTGCTCATTATCTTTCAAATAATATTTTATACTAAATTGTACTTGCAAATTTGTAAATGTAGTCATTGTAGTATTGAGTACTGTACTTCTGCTTAATTTGGCATCCATTTTAATTTGGCGCAGATCTGCCAAATTGTTAAAGTCTGCCAAATTAAGTAGTTGCCAAATTTCCTTGTAATTTAAGGACCATGTAAATTAGTAACATAGTTCATTGTAATATTGCAAGTCCGCCAAATTAAGAATCCTCCAAATGTTCAAAACAGCAAATCTGCCAAAATAAGTCCTGCCAAATTAAGTAGAAGAAGTACAGTATATCTTTAATTATCCCACCCCTAGTGCTTTATATGATTGTATAATAGCATTGTATAAATGCAATATAAAACCAACACTCATCATATACAACTCTTGAGAACGACAACTTCTGGAAAGCATATACAACTCCTGGGCAGCATATACAACTTTTCGACTTGATATACAACTGCTGAATTTAGATTAACCTTTTATCGATTAAAGATTAGGGTGGTATAATAAGATCATATAATGGTTGATTCTGTATATCGCTATACTCTCGTGAGTATATGATATATTCACTTGTTCACTTGAGTAAAAACACGATATACCGAATCAACCATTATATAACCTAACAAGGCATTAACATGACAAAATGTCACCACCTACTGTAGTTACTCACAATATTATGAGTTCAAACTTAAGTCAGATTTGAATTTCTGAGAACTTGTAAAGTCAAATTTGAACTTCTGAAAAGATGTAGATGATTTTGAAAAAAAAATTTGAAGCAAGTTGAAAACAGACCTTTTTGACCTTTTTTGTCCTTGAGAAGGTCAATAAAGGTCAAATGTCAAATCTAAAGTCAGATTTGAATTTCTGAGAACATGTAGATGATTTTGAAAAAAAAATTAGTCAATTTGAAGCAAGTTGAAAAAAGACCTTTTTGACCTTTTTTGACCTTGAGAAGGTCATTGAAGGTCAAATGTCAAATCTAAAGTCAAATCTAAAGTCATATTTGAATTTCTGAGAACACGTAGATGATTTTGAAAAAAAATTTAGTCAATTTGAAGCAAGATGAAAAAATACCTTTTTGACCTTTTTTGACATTGAGAAGGTCATTGAAGGTCAAATGTCAAATCTAAAGTCAGATTTGAATTTCTGAGAACATGTAGATGATTTTGAAAAAAAAATTTAGTCAATTTGAAGCAAGTTGAAAAAAGACCTTTTTGACCTTTTTTTACTTTGAGAAGGTCAAATGTCAAATCTTAAGTCAAATCTAAAGTCAGATTTGAATTTCTGAGAACACGTAGATGATTTTGAAAATTTTTTTAGTCAATTTGAAGCAAGTTGAAAACAGACCTTTTTGACCTTTTTTGACCTTGAGAAGGTCATTGAAGGTCAAATGTCAAATCTAAAGTCAGATTTGAATTTCTGAGAACATGTAGATGATTTTGAAAAAAAAATTTAGTCAATTTGAAGCAAGTTGAAAAAGACCTTTTTGACCTTTTTTGACTTTGAGAAGGTCATTGAAGGTCAAATGTTAAATCTTAAGTCAAATCTAAAGTCAGATTTGAATTTCTGAGAACACGTAGATGATTTTGAAAAAAATTTTAGTCAATTTGAAGCAAGTTGAAAACAGACCTTTTTGACCTTTTTTGACCTTGAGAAGGTCATTGAAGGTCAAATGTCAAATCTAAAGTCAGATTTGAATTTCTGAGAACATGTAGATGATTTTGAAAAAAAAATTTAGTCAATTTGAAGCAAGTTGAAAAAGACCTTTTTGACCTTTTTTGACTTTGAGAAGGTCATTGAAGGTCAAATGTCAAATCTTAAGTCAAATCTAAAGTCAGATTTGAATTTCTGAGAACACGTAGATGATTTTGATATTTTTTTTTAGTCAATTTGAAGCAAGTTGAAAACAGACCTTTTTGACCTTTTTTTACCTTGAGAAGGTCATTGAAGGTCAAATGTCAAATCTTAAGTCAGATTTGAATTTCTGAGAACACGTAGATGATTTTGAAAAAAAAATTTAGTCAATTTGAAGCAAGTTTAAAACAGACCTTTTTGACCTTTTTTGACCTTGAGAAGGTCATTGAAGGTCAAATGTCAAATCTAAAGTCAGATTTGAAGGTCAAATGTCAAATCTAAAGTCAGATTTGAATTTCTGAGAACATGTAGATGATTTAAAAAAAAAATTTAGTCAATGTGAAGCAAGTTGAAAAAAGACCTTTTTGACCTTGAGAAGGTCATTGAAGGTCAAATGTCAAATCTAGAGTCAGATTTGAACTTCTGAGAACATGTAGATGATTTAGAAAAAAATTGAAGTCAGTCTAAACAGTATTTGTTAAGTTATAGGAAGTTGTAAGAAATTGTTACAGACGCCGGACGCCAACTGCCGGACACCAACCGCCGGACGCCAACCGCCGTCGCAAAAAAAACGGAGACCATAACAATATGTCACCACTTTTGGTGGTGACATAATAGTATAGTAAAAATATAAGTCAAAGCCCCTATATAATAAGATGATAACTGAGGCAACATCTTACAGTGATCTTTATCTATATTTTTATGTCACCACCAGAAGTGTTGACATATTGTTATACTCACCAACTTTTTTGTGGATGGCATTTGGTGTTTGGCCTCTGTAACAAATGGCAGGTGGAGACATTTTGCATGTCAATGCCTTGCTATTTCTGTTGGGAAGAGGGGAGCTCTTATTTAAGGCTTTGTATGAAAAACCTCCTACCTCATACCAACCTACCCACGTACATGGGACATGATACAGTCTTTGAGGGGTTCAATTTTAAAGATCTTAGTTTATTAAATCGTAGTTTATGATGAATTATAGATGCATTTCTAAGGACCCTTGATAGCAAGTTGCTACTACATCCCAGCTGGGTTCGATTCCCCCTCGGGGGATCAAATTTAGCACACTTTTTTCAATTTCTTTATCTGGCTTGTTAGACCTATGCTCGCGGTCGTTAGTTATTTATTCCCCTGTGGCGCCCTCGGGTCATTACACATTAAAATGCATCTATATACCTTTATTTATGGATCTGTCATCTGTCTAGTCATAAAATAAAGTCGGAATTGTAGAAATGTTAATAATTTGAGCTATTTTGAGATTTAATAATCTTTAAAATTGAACCCCTCAGTGACTGTATCATGTTCCACGTAGGTGGGTATGAGGTAGGAGATTCTTTATACAAAGCCCTTATTTAAAAGGAATGAGAGAGTGGCAAAAGGTTGCAGGGTTTATTGGAAGTTTCTTTTATTGTCTTTAGGAATCATTTGTTGTGTTCCAGATACCAGTGAGGATTTTCTCAAAGAAATAACAAAGGATCTGTCATCACATGGTTATCAGTGTTGGGAAACATCAATAGGTGGAGCTGGAGTCACTATCCATAAAAAAGCAGATGGACAATATCAGAATGAGGCTCAGTTTCCAAAAACACTTTTTGATTGATTTCTGTAGGATTTTCAATTGTAAAATGCCTTAAATTGTTTAACTTAGTCAAGTGATTTTGGACCATAATATACATGTTTCATACGCAAGGTTAAAAGAACATTTTTCATATTAATTTTTTTATTTTATATTTATATTTACAATATATACAAATATACAATAAATCACTGCATAATACAACAATGTTCACACAGCCGGGCAGCAAGACCCCTGGTTTCAATTGTCTACGTTGTTTGGCATTAAAATGTGGTGTTCTTCCGCGGAGAGAAAGTAGTTCGTTAATTGGATTTCTATAAAACTGACAGCCTGTTTCAAACTAAGTTTAAGGGTATTAGGAAAATGTTTAAATGTATATTTATCCAATGTTATGTAAGAGTGTAGTCTCAAGCGTCGGTCTGATGTACTTTTGAACGAATATCTTATTCATGGAAGTTTCTGTGGCGTATTTCCATATGGACCCAATACGATATATTTTTTAACCAAAATAACGCTTGAAACGCAAATTTTGCTGGGCCGTTTGATGATAACGTTTGTTATATTTTATCATATTTAGATATGTGATATCCCTTATGACGCCGGTTCTTTTCCACCTTGTGGCCTAATCAAAATCACAATATGAGTTGGCAAGATCTGACTTTGAAATTGGGCTTCGCAATTCATACAATTTCATTTTTTATTTTGACATGAGTGGAAATAAAGGTTTTAAACTCTACCAGAAACTTACAGAAAGCCTAGGAAAGCAATATATTTTAAAAACATACATTCAAATGCATCTTTTCTGAAATTTCTAATGTTAGGTATTAAAGCTACTCATTTTTATCCATGTTTCACTGCAGACGATGATTATTTGCGCTGTAGAAAAACTAAATAATTCTTGAGCCAAAAATAAGTCTGGGCCGTTTTATGATAACGATAATTTCATTTTCTCAAATAAGTGTTTTTTTATAGTGCTGATTCCAAATGTTATTACTGTCTCAATAATCAATTGAAAGACGCAAGAAAAATAGGGGCATTTCAGTCATGAAGATGGGTGTAAAATGACAGGTCCCCAATCAATTATATACGGCGCCATCTTTATCTGCATAGTTCAAGGTCACTGAAATATTGCTGAAACGTACAGTCGTTTCTGTGATATTATGCGATAATATGGCTCAATTAGGTTAAGTTATGATCTTTCCTTGTTTGGAGGTGTCATACATTTATATAAGATGTCAACTAATTATCACGAAAAGGTATGTATAATTTCATTCTTACGTTACGATTATTTTTTTCAAGGAATTTGATTTTGGATTTTGTGAATTTGATCCTGATTTTCAGTTTTTCTACATGTAGGCCTAGGCTAAATGAGGTGTAACCGTTGTGCAGGTCCTTATCATATCGTGCGCATTAGAATTTCAGAAGTAAGGCACTGTACATGTATCTCCAACTAGAAATGAAAGAATATTATAAGAATTCCACTAGACTTCAATATGATGAAGGGGGCCAATGAAGTCAGTCTAGGTTTATACGCACTAAATGGCTGGAGTGATTTGAACATTTAATGTACCCAAGATCTGGCTATAGCCTCTTTTGAGCTTACATGTACATAGATGATTACTTAAAACATATACAGTATTGCTTCGAAGTACATTATTTATGCAGTCTACATGTACAGCAATGATGTAACTTCCATGTTTGTGTGCTCTACTGTTGTGTATCTCGATTCCAGGACCATCACACACAGACCACATTTTATCTGAACGACCATGCAGTGAGTTCACACGGTGACGAACTGTTGGGATGGACCGCTGAGGATAAGGGGACATGATGCTATACATCATAATCTTTTTGCTGTCCTTACTCATTGGATTGAGTACAGGAATCTCTATACAATATGGAGCTCTGGGATTCTGTCAGCCAAATTACCGTGTGCTGCATTGTATTTCATCTTTATATCTGTCCAAGAAGTTGGGAGTATGTCTGTCTGCTGGATATCGGTTTTGGGATTAGCAAGACTAATATACAACATTCAGGTAATAATATTTGTGTGCAAGCGATCAAGATTCCTCTGGCGATTTCCGTAGCACATACATGTATGACATAGCTAGAACCTGAATGACAGTGAAATTCAGATCATTGTTGACAATGTGCCTATGAAAAGTCATGTCATTGTCAGTTTATCGTAATCTTATATAATATCAGTGATACTTTTTGCATTTTCAATGATTCTGCAAAGTGTATTCCACTGACCCTTTAGGCTTTTGGTAATACACTTTGCAAGAATCATTGAAAGATGAACAAGTATTCTTAAATTAAACCATACAAAATATTTGTATAATATCATACTTGTCAAATTACCATTTGGTTATATTATAATTAAAACCTTATATTCAATTCCTCATTGTGCTTATTCCTCTCAAATAATATAATTAAGTGAAATGTAGGACATTTTCATATTGGAGGAGGTGGAAGGGAGATTATCTTGAGAGCAATAAAAACTTTGATTTCAGATCCTCTATTACTCGTTAAGATTTTTCTAAATAAATTGTGCCATTGTGATAACATTTTGTATGTTTGTTTGTCTCTTAAACCTCAGTCACATTCACTCTACGGCAGCTGTAGCTTCACAAAATCGATTTAGAAAATCGACAGCGTACTGCTAACCCTATATTTTATGCTGCATATTTCTCTAGATTTTGGTAAGCTATTATGGTTGCCATAGATCAAATATGACCGAGGCATTATATTGATGGGTGTATAATACACATATATGATGTATTTAAAAGAATCGTAATGTCCAAGAATTACTCAATAGGTGTCACTGAGTTATACTGTTACTATGAGGGTAGAATATGTTGCACTACATGAGCAGCCTCTACAACTGTCTTTGATGGTCTCTGTACTCTTGGGTCATGAACTGGTACATTCAATCTGAAAACAAATGGTAGAATATGTATCATTTATTAATGTTATGATATTTATTGGTTGGCATTGTATACAGAGCGCGCTTCCTATGACTCCTATAGATTTCATACCAACTTGTCAGAGTTAGATTACGGACAAGTTAAATGTTATTTCATGGAAAAAAACATCCAGTGCTTATGCATAGTTGGGGTTATTGCTCTAGCCTGATCTATGTAAAGGAACATAACACAAGAATTGAATTGTTTGGTCAATTGCCTTGAATTCTTTATGATGTGCACTCAGCAGTATCTGATTTATTTCACTTCTATGCATTGAACTTCTCTTTTACAACTGTAGACTTAACAAAATGGCAGAGCATCCTACTTACTTTACATTGGTTTTCTGGTTGACTACAAACAGTGGATTCACTTGGCTTAAGATCTCATCATTCACAGATATACCATCTAAGTATTGTTTCAGTAACGTACGGAGGGTCGTATTTTCATTTAAAAGAGTTGATTTTTCTTTATCCAATGCTACTTTGTCTAGTAGGGTTTTATTGTAGCGCTTCCAGAAGTTTTCTAATGATGTGTATTCATGCATCACCTGGAATAGATTTATGTATGATGAGGAAATGCGAAAATGGGGTTAAATTTTGAAATGCAAAATAGATTGGAAAAGAGCACAATTTCCATGGAATAAAGTACACAGGTGTGAAGTCAATCCATCAAATTGTATAGAAATATCATAATAATGTGAAATGTGAAAATGGGGTCATGTTTTGAAATGCAAAATAGAGTGGAAAAGAGCGCAATTTCCATGGAATAAAGTACACAGGTGTGAAGTCAATCCATCAAATTGTATAGAAATATCATAATAATGTGAAATGTGAAAATGGGGTCATGTTTTGAAATGCAAAATATTGTGGAAAAGAGCGAAATTTCCATGGAACAAAGTACACAGATATAAAGTCAATCCATCAAATTGTATGGAAATATCACAATAATGTGAAATGTGAAAATGGGGTCATGTTTTGAAATGCAAAATAGAGTGGAAAAGAGAAAATTAACAAGTAATAAAGTACATTTAAATGAAATCTGTTTTGAATTACATGTACACATGTTCTAAATTGCATTAACTTGAATAAAAATTAGGTAATGACCTGTACACTACTATTGGTAGAGTTGGAGATAGATAAGATATTTTGTTTGCTTTAGAGATATTAAAGCCTTCACCAGATTTAATTAGAAAACGAAAAAAACTGGCTAAAAAGAATTGGTTGAAAAACTTACAGCTGCCAAAGGTTCAGAAGGAGCCTCAGTGACGGCAGCTTCAACATCCCCTTGTTCTTCCTCCGTCAAAGATGACGCATAAAACGGCAAAACTTTTTCCTCCTCTGTCTCCATTTTTCGACACATTTCTGCTAATCGTAGAATTCTCTCACCCTAGAAATGATATCGAATATAAGGTAATTCCATGTTTAAGTTAAATTTAATTCATAATAAAAAACAAAAATTCATAAACAAAACACTGCATGGGCTATACTGTAACATTCTGGGAAAGCTTGACATGCTTCTCTGTTATTATTGTTAATTGCTTTATTTAAATGCTCACTTTATTTGAGGATTCACAAAATCTGTATAAATCTCAATCAATATCCAGTGACAATGTTAATACATGTATACTGAATTAAAAAATGTTCACAAAATCCAACAAGAATAAGAGTAGTCGCCAATGAAATTTAACCCAACTTATGGTATTTTACTTTTATTTTACATTTATATAGAAACAGAGTATAGTATAGTATCTCTGCACTATATATTTGTTTACATCTCACCTTTTCAGCTTTCCTTTTTGATTCCTTGATGGCAGTATTGCTCTCAAGTGTTAGTTTGGTTAATTTTTCACGTTCAATTTCACGTAATTTATTCATCTGACCCTTAAGCTGTTGGAAATGAGCCTGCATCATCTCTCGTTCTTCCCGAAGTTGTTTATTGCGCTCTTCGCATTCTTTTGCATTGGCAGTCATCTTGGATTTTAATTGGGCAATGTGGTCCTAAAGAAGAGCAGAAAATCCAGGATTTATTACCAATGCATAACATGACAAAATGTCATCACCTGGAAAAATTGTAGCAATTGTAACGGACACCAATGCTGAGAAAAAAAATTGTATTTTATACTGAAGAAAATGTATGGTTTTCCTTTCATTATAATCAAATCTATACATGACAATTTATAAGTTTTAATTTTCATTTGAATCCATCAAAAAAGTACATCAAAAAATCTTAGGAGGGAGACATATACAGTAAAACCTGTCCGATGGAATACCTCTCTGTAGGGAAAACCTGTGAACAAGGAATGCTTTTCAAAAGAACCAAATATTTTTCCATTGACTTACATGTTAACGGACCCTCTCTGTAGGGAAAACCTATGAACAGGGAACAAGGAACACTATTTTGGGGCAATATATGAAAATTCACCTGTGAACAAGGAATATGGAATATTGGTGACACTGTGTATTCCATTATTTTTCAGAGGTGTGAAAGTCTAAGCCAATATCTGATTCCAAAAAGCTTGGATTAATATGACTGAGATTAAGATAAGCCAATTGTTGACATGATGTAGCATCCCACCCACTGTTAATTACCTTGATTTATTTTAAAACTAATACTAATCTGTTTGTTACTTATTATCATGACACCAATTTTTCCTTTCAAAAACCTACTTACATCAAATCAGTTGTGATAATCTAGGGACTGACACAATTGTTTTATGGAGATAACAGATAGTAAGTACATGGTCATGTTGAGCCAAAGCTCTTTAAATCTTTTACTGATCCAACTTCCAGATTATAAATGATATAAAATGGGGTTGATGAAACTTGAATTTCAGTTCTTAGCAATATATATGTACACAGCATATCAATGATCTTTGATCAACTAGACATCATCAGACGCTAGAAGCAGCTAAAATCAACATGGGGAGAACGTAAACAAGTATGGAGTCGGCATTTGTACAATCAATCAATATATATACAAATATGCTTATTCGGCAATTTTGAGTTTGCTGAAAGTGCAGCCCCTCTCTATAGGGAAAACCTCTGAACAAGGAAACTTTCCTCCAGTCCCAAGAGCATTCCCTGTTCGCAGGTTTTACTGTAATAACATTTAAAAAACAGTTCAATATATATTTAAGTTTAAATGGCCTAATGTGGTTATAACACTTACTGCAATGCGCTGTAATTTTCTCATTTGCATCTCAATCTCTTTCGCACTTTTCTCATCTTTGAGCTTGAGTTGTTCAAATGCATTCTTCCTTTCCTCAGTTGTCTCATTGTAGTTCTTCAGTGCTTGTTGGAACTGGTACCAAAGGTCCTCCACAGCAGTCTCAAGCTGGACTCTGAGAGCATGTTTCTCTTCTAGATTCTACAATAGAAGCAATAATAAAGGAATGTTGGAACTGGTACCAAAGGTCCTCCACAGCAGTCTCAAGCTGGACTCTGAGAGCATGTTTCTCTTCTAGATTCTACAATAGAGGCAATAATAAAGGAACGTTAGAACTGGTACCAAAGGTCCTCCACAGCAGTCTCAAGCTGGACTCTGAGAGCATGTTTCTCTTCTAGATTCTACAATAGAGGCAATAATAAAGGAACGTTAGAACTGGTACCAAAGGTCCTCCACAGCAGTCTCAAGCTGGACTCTGAGAGCATGTTTCTCTTCTAGATTCTACAATAGAGGCAATAATAAAGGAACGTTAGAACTGGTACCAAAGGTCCTCCACAGCAGTCTCAAGCTGGACTCTGAGAGCATGTTTCTCCTCTAGATTCTATAATGAAGAGTCAATAAATATAAAGGAACTGATACCTTTGTGGGTTTTACTTTTACATTCCAGAATCTAATAAGATTTAAACTGCCCACATGTATGGTTTATGATATTTTATTTTTTGCATATAAAAAATCAAGACACACATAATCAAAGAGATATGCACAATTATGCAATTGCTACCTTGTTTTTGATCTCATCTCGCATGCTCTGGAATTCTCCCTTAGCATCAGTCTCTCTCTCCTGATTGTTCTGCTCCATTGCAAACACAACATCTTGCAGATCAGTCATCTCCTTTGTATGTTGTTCTATCATCATCTCACGCTCAGTATCAAACTCCTCTTTCAGCACATCAAGCTCAACGTGGTACTCTTCCTGTAGTGTGTGAAGTCGCTGTTTTTGCAGATCTAAAAGATATGTTCAATTGTGAACGTAATGTTGATCATTTTGATGGTACGGAATGTTGTTTTGATTAGTGTTTGAAATTAAGCTACTTTCTTGATGTTTTGAACAGCATGCACTCGTAAGAGACAACAGATGAAATTATTTATTCGTGTACCTTGTTTTAGCATAAGTTTACCAACTGAGCTAAACTAGTTAGAATAAGGATTTAGCCTCATTCCTTTTTGAGATTACCTTACATTTATTTTTTGGAAAAGTTTGAATATAATTCAATCATGTAAACTACATGTACCAGGTCGATCAATAAGTTCTGAGATTTTAATATTAACCTCTGCACATATTATAGACACATTTATCTCTTAATACTCAGACCCTCTTGAAACTAGAAAGTCCAAATTTTTGCATCACTTACCTATTAATCCATCTATATTTTGTAAATGACTTCTTAATGCCATTGAATATTGCTCTTCTGCCTCCAACAAATCTTTGGCAAGTGACTTGATGACGCTCTCCTTCCTGTCAACAACTCGTTCAAATGTCTGACTAAGTATTTCGATTTCTTTCTTCAGTTCTTTCGATTTGGCTTCTCTCATAATATTACGCCATTGGTTGTTCAATTTATTCAGGTTAAATCTAGAGGCCTTTTCTTCCTTGGCAAGCTTGTCCTAAAAATAAGATAATAGATTATGTATCATTTAATATCTAAATACAAGGTGCTCTAATTTCTATAACTAAAGATTCTAACTTCACCTAGTTTCAATGGTATATCTGAAACATTGTCAATTGAGTGTTCATTAACTTTCAGCAAGGCAACTGTCTAACTTCAGTAAAACCTGTCTAAATGAACATCTCTCTATAGTGAACACCTGTGTTTAGTGAACACTTCTTCAAGGCACATTTTACATTGACTCCTGTCTAAATAAATACCCTCTCTGTAGTGAACACCTACCTCGAATAAACACTTTTTTGTGGCTCCATATGTGTTCAGACTGTTCACTATATACAGATTTTACTGTATGCATATCTAGAGCAGGGAAATTAGTTTTCACTTACTTTCAAAAACTGGGTCAACATATCTTCTTTCTTTTTGCGCATTTCTTCTTCGGCTAAACGCTGTTGCTCAAGATATAAGATTCTTTCCTCCTCTGTCATCTTGGCCAACTTCCCCGACTTCTTTTTCTTCTTTCCCGCCATGTTGAATCAATTAATAAGTCTGCAATATATCATCAGTTAGAATGGACTAAACAACAGTGTTCAAGTGTTCAGAGTTATGCGTCATGGATTTTGACCCATCTTATCTGGTGATACATAGACATGACGAAATTTGACATATTAAAAAAATTTTAAAGCCCATTTTCTTGATTACATTGGCCCCTCCTCCCCAGATCCGCCAGTGTATGATGACTAATGTGTGTGAAAATAACTGAGCCACTGTCCATTAAAAGACCACAGAGAAAGATAATGAACAAAACTACAGTTTTTTGTTGTTGGTTAGGTAAGGCAGGCCTGTCAACTGTCCCGCAATTTGCGTATTTGTCACGCATTTGCTGAAGAATTTGAAGTCACGCCAGTTATTTTTGCGTGACAGAAAATGTCACGCAAATACGCATTTTACCTGGTAATTGTCAAGCAAAAATATTTCTGTAGAAAAATTTCTAAAAAAGATCGTCTACACAGCAAAAATACGAACGCCGCAAAAAAATATACGCATTTCGTTCGGACTTTTCACGCGAATTACGTATATGTCACGCATTCCGTTCGAAATTTTTCGTATCAAGGTGTCCAGATTTGGACCAAGGTGTCCACATTTTGAGGGGAGGTGTTCAACATTTCCAAGTCACTCATGTTAGGTGTTCCCAAGTTGACAGGCCTGGGTAAGGCGTCACAATTTTTGATGGGGCTTTATGTGACTGACATCACCCGATGATGTGAACACCGAATCAATTGACCTTTTGCGATCAGAATTCAGGAATTTTGTTTATGGATACTGTTGTCACGTATTTCGCCTTATTGGTGTGACGTCATAAGGAAATGATATTAGACATGATGGAATCACGAAATGGCGGACACGTGTCAGTTTTGAGCTAAAAATATTGTCGTTTCTTTTATGAAAACCATGGGTCGGATATTTACCAGGTATGCCGATTTGACTAGATCATAAGTATATCTATATATGTGCAAAGTTTGGGTGAAATTCGTACTAAACATCGATGCCTATAAGCGCCCCCTGTTTTTGTCAAAATCGGGGGTGCTTAACCGCTATCTAAATCATGTCAGTAAGATCTTAGACTTAGTATGTGCTTAGCATGAATGTTGATCTAGTCAAATCGAACGCTTTCTTGAAAAATAAATCAATAAAGCACGAAATAAAGAAGATAATCTCTCAAAATCAAGCATCTAAAGCTGGGTGGCCTAATTGTGACGTCACTAAAAGATAGAATCCATTCGGTGATCGCAAATCATCAATTACTTCAAACTTTAATCGCATCATATTGGCATATAAGCTAAGGTGGAGCTTAGGTCATGTGAATGATCCAAACATGATACTGTATTTGTCTTTGATTTCGTGCTTCTTAATTTGGTGATTTTCAGAGATTGAATAGATTGCCATCTATTTAATTTGGCGGTTTTTCAAGGGGATAAATCTCATATCTATATCTATTGTATACCTTCCCCCCTTATTTCAATTGTTGTTGAAGAACAATTTAAAATGCTATAAATTAAACAATTTTTTTGATTCGCCAAATTCAGCAAATTAAAACACTCGTCAAATTAAATGCAAATAAATAGAACAAAGAGCTCCAACCTCTACAATGTGGGATGGCTTTCATAAAAAGATTATAATTTCAATACATTGAAACACATTTGCATGTAAAATTTGCCATGTCAATTCAACATCAACATGACTACATGGGCTGAACTGACATGGGCATAATGCCCGGTATGCAAAGGCGTACCAGATGGTTACAAATACACTCCAAATAATGATCAAACTTCGATATATTCTTTCCTAGACCCCTTGGAGTTCAAGAAACTCGTGTTCCCATGGTGGTAACTACTCATAAAAATAGCGCTACGCCCATGACTGAGACATTGACACTGTGACAGCAACGACAGTCAGCACCATCTATCCTCTATAATATACAACACTGGTCTAATGACAGTATGAACAATAGACAGTACTCACCGTGACAGCCTGACTCGTTCATTTCAATTTCAATTCAATAGTGAATTGAAAATAAAAATCGGATCATGAAAGTGTGAACAGATTTTGTTTACATCCATATTCCAATACAAAACTGTCACATATCAAAACGATAAATTCAAAAATTATGTTGGAATAATTCAATTACCTTTTCATAGTTCTAGGCCTCAGAGATTTCACTTAGAATTCAATAATTTAAAAAATTTTGTTGTGTGGTCTCTCGTAGCAACTCCGGAAATGACGTCATTTTGCATAGAATTAGGGCGAAGGGGTGTAATGTCGACGTGTGGGGTAATGTCGACATAATAGACGGGGTAACTTCGACACTTACGTATTAAAAGTAGAATTTTCCGTTTTTCGCCATGTTTGATTTCTGGAAAAATTAAAATCTCGATAGATCTCGATCTATGCGAGAAAAAAACATGGCTTCCCCCTAAATCGGAAATTAGAGCAAATAAACAACAAGGTGTCGAAGTTACCCCACATGTCGAAGTTACCCCAAAACGGTGTCGACGTTACACCCCTTCGCCCTATTTCTAGCTATATTTTCAAACTGACACAAAATTAAGTATTTTCATATCAACTATTTTCCTATTTGTAATTTTCAAAGGTGTAATATATGTCTAATGTATTGATTTCAAAGTGTTTCAAAGTGTTTTTTTTCCAAATGTAATGAAACTTGCTTAGGTTTGAGACTCTAAAGATCAACTTCCGGTATAAAATGTGGGAAATCCAAAGTAGAAAAGCACTTATAGACTGCTCTTTTTAGTTTAAGTACAAGTATATATATATCGCCCGGTACGCATGGCGCGCAAAGGCGTACCAGATGGTTACAAATACACTTCAAATAATGACCAAACTTATGCTCTCAACTGGTGTTCCCATGGTGGGAAACTAGTCATAAAAATAGCACTAAGCCTATGAATGAGACATTGACACTCTGACAGCAACGACAGTCAGCACCATCTATCCTCTATACTATACAACACCGGTCTAATAACAGTATGAAGAATAAATAGTAATCACCGTGACAGTCTGACTCGTTCATTTCAATTTCAAGTCAAAAATTTGGGAAAATTTTATTGAAAATAAAAATCGGATCATGAAAGTGTGAACAGATTTTGTTTACATCCATATTTCAATACAAAACTGTCACATATCAAAACAGTAAATTCAAAAATTACGTTGGAATAATTTAATTACCTTTTTATAGTTCTAGGCCTCAGAGATTTCCCTTAGAATTCAATAATTTTGTAAAAATTCTAGAAATTTTGATGTTTGGTCTCTCGTAGCAACTCCGGAAATGACGTCATTTTGCATAGAATTGTTTCTAGCTATTTTTTCAAATTGACACAAAATCAAGTATTTTCATATCAACGATTTTCCTACTTTTGATTTCCAAAGGTGTAATATATGTCTAATGTATTGATTTCAAAGTGTTTTCTCCAAATATAATGAAACTTGCTTAGGTTTGAGACTATAAAGATCAACTTCCGGTATAAAATGTGGGAAATCCAAAGTTGAAATACACTTATAAACTGCTCTTTTTAGGTTAAGTACAAGTCTATATATTAAATACACACGTCCCCAAATTTATTAGTAATATAGGAAAACATGGATGTCAACAAAAGAAGGATCGGTGTGGTTGGTTTCGGCAGTTTAGGTGTGTATCCTTTTATATTTTTCACTGTGTTGTCCAATTTCAGTGCACAGTCAGCACTATCTATTTTCTATTTAGAGGACCCAGAGTTTAGGAGATGACAAGGGTCCCCATTGTACAGCAACAACCCTGCAGTACTGATATACATTTGGGGATGTCGATGTGGTCTGACAGTCGCCACCAGTGTATTTTATCCGTCCAATTTTTTAATGAGTTGAAACCAAATCATAGATCTATTTTTAAATGTAGGGCTTTAAATTATATTCTTTTAAAAATTATCCTGTCGATTCTCCATCTCAGGCCAAAGTAGGTGAGGATAGGCTCACAACATTTGTCGAAACTTCAAGAAATGCTCACAGGGCAGGGTCCAGTTCTGATATATGTCGGTCGGTATGGGAGACACTCTGAAAAAAATTATCAATTGTTTGGGAGATTGTTGAAAACAGTTAATGTGATATTTTTCAATGGGTTGTTGCTCTACAATATGTCATGAACTTTTGCTAAAACTCTTCATTGAATCTAAATGAATATAAGATCACATGACATTGGAACTATTGCCAATTAGAGAATAGAGTAAACCTTACTATATTTGCACATAGCCATCTTTTGATAGATGGCTATGCATATCTTGATATTCCCAGACATGTTAAAGGTCTTTTACAAAAATGTAAGAAATCTTGGAAACATTTACCCTACTTCAATCAAATGTATTTGGAACTTGAATTTTAGACCACCAAATCACAATTAAGTCTGAGATTTTTGTTTACCAGAGTTATTATAGGTAATGAGATAGATACAATCACGGATTTGCTGAAGTGAGGATTTCTGATGTTAAACATGAGAGAATTTTCAAGAGGCCATACATCAGTGGATGAGAGTATTATATAAAATTTAAAATATACAAATGTACACATTTTAGGGGATATGCAGTGGCGTAGGAACAATGTACGCCAAAACGCCAGTGTGTAGTGTTGAAAAGTGAGAATAAAAAAGAATTTTCCTATGTTCTTTAGTCATATTTTCTCATTGTTCAAAAATTGTAAAAGTAATCTCGAGCACACTAGCCTAAAGAAATGTTTTGTGGATACCATATCATTATTGGTCTGTCTGGAAAATATCATTTAACAGATTGAATTCCCTTACCAACATGCTTTATTTCATGAAAATCGAGCCACTATTGAATGTCTTATGAATACAATTTTGCCAAATATTCGTGAATCGCATTCTCTCCACGAATTTGAGAGGAAAACTGTTTTGTTTTCAAAAACTACTTGATGAATACCTTTGACATTTTTTCTGCATTTTCCGTAATGCTTATGCAAACTATGGTATCATATAATTATAATGATGAACCTCTTTAAATTTAGATGTACATTTTTTTTATTCTCCCCTACCCCAATTTTTCAATTGCACTATCGATTTATATTCCGTTGCTATGCAAAATCATAGACACGAAATTATAGTTAAGTCAACAATTATCTATTTTCTTACTAAATCACTAATTGTTATTGGTAGTACTTTTTGAAATATGGATGTTAAAGACAAAAACAACTTGAAAATGCTGATTATTCAATTACACGTTCCATTGGTTTCAGTTCTAGAAAAGTGATTACCTATTTTTTTTCATTTGAAAATTATAGATTCTTGTTTTATAACATTTTTTGGCATCCCCTAAGTCACGTTGACCTCGATTTGACCTTTGTGGTGGGTGTGTTTATTTGTTTCATTGATCACGAATGCGTTTCTTTATATCAATTGATCAAACTAGTTTCTTTAATCTGTACGTATTGTATTGCACGGTACACGATGGAATCAGACAATACTATATATCTTAATTCAATTATTCGAAAATGATTAAAAAATCTCTAATTGTTTTTTTGGAAATTGGTCGTCTCAATCGTTCGAGACATTAGCAAAGTGAGAATGATTTGTGTCGAGATTTAAAAGATAGGCTTTCCAAGGTGATTTTAAATGATGAAAATCATTCGAACATTTTAAAGCACATTAAAAAGGTATCAGGGATTTAAAGCTTGCATATAAAATCGAAACGCCAACCTATACGTATGACCAATCGCCCATATAAATGCATCGCTTAAGTATTTCCGTTCACATTTAGGTTGTGAAAAACATTGCAAGCTTAAAATCTCTGTTACCATAAAATGACGTTTTACAAGCATAATATAGGCGTTTTGATATAGAATATTGACACAATTGTTTCATATTTTTTTGGCGGGATTTTTAGCGTAGTGTTGCATTTACACCTTCCTACGCCCCTGATATGCATCAGACAGATCTCTTATGATCTTTCATACATTTCCAGGTCAATACTTGGTAGAAGAAACACAGACAAGATCAGAATTAGAACTTGCATTTGTTTGGAATAGATCTCTTATAATCTTTCATATACTTCCAGGTCAATACTTGGTAGAAGAAATACAAGCAAGACCAGAATTAGAACTTGCATTTGTTTGGAATAGATCTCTTATAATCTTTCATACACTTCCAGGTCAATACTTGGTAGAAGAAATACAAGCAAGACCAGAATTAGAACTTGCATTTGTTTGGAACAGATCTCTTATAATCTTTCATACACTTCCAGGTGAATACTTGGTAGAAGAAATACAAGCAAGACCAGAATTAGAACTTGCATTTGTTTGGAATAGATCTCTTATAATCTTTCATACACTTCCAGGTCAATACTTGGTAGAAGAAATACAAGCAAGACCAGAATTAGAACTTGCATTTGTTTAGAACAGATCTCTTATAATCTATCATACACTTCCAGGTCAATACTTGGTAGAAGAAATACAAGCAAGACCAGAATTAGAACTTGCATTTGTTTAGAACAGATCTCTTATAATAATTTCATACACTTCCAGGTCAATACTTGGGAGAAGAAATACAGGCAAGACCAGAATTAGAACTTGCATTTGTTTGGAATAGATCTCTTATAATCTTTCATACACTTTCCAGGTCAATACTTGGTAGAAGAAATACAAGCAAGGCCAGAATTAGAACTTGCATTTGTTTGGAACAGATCTCTTATAATCTTTCATACACTTCCAGGTCAATACTTGGTAGAAGAAATACAAGCAAGACCAGAATTAGAACTTGTATTTGTTTGGAATAGATCTCTTATAATCTTTCATACACTTCCAGGTCAATACTTGGTAGAAGAAATACAAGCAAGACCAGAATTAGAACTTGCATTTGTTTGGAACAGATCTCTTATAATCTTTCATACACTTCCAGGTCAATACATGTACTTGGTAGAAGAAATACAAGCAAGACCAGAATTAGAACTTGCATTTGTTTGGAACAGATCTCTTATAATCTTTCATACACTTCCAGGTCAATACTTGGTAGAAGAAATACAAGCAAGACCAGAATTAGAACTTGCATTTGTTTGGAACAGATCTCTTATAATCTTTCATATACTTCCAGGTGAATACTTGGTAGAAGAAATACAAGCAAGACCAGAATTAGAACTTGCATTTATTTGGAACAGATCTCTTATAATCTTTCATATACTTCCAGGTCAATACTTGGTAGAAGAAATACAAGCAAGACCAGAATTAGAACTTGCATTTGTTTGGAACAGATCTCTTATAATCTTTCATATACTTCCAGGTCAATACTTGGTAGAAGAAATACAAGCAAGACCAGAATTAGAACTTGCATTTGTTTGGAACAGATCTCTTATAATCTTTCATATACTTCCAGGTCAATACTTGGTAGAAGAAATACAAGCAAGACCAGAATTAGAACTTGCATTTGTTTGGAACAGATCTCTTATAATCTTTCATATACTTCCAGGTCAATACTTGGTAGAAGAAATACAAGCAAGACCAGAATTAGAACTTGCATTTGTTTGGAACAGATCTCTTATAATCTTTCATATACTTCCAGGTCAATACTTGGTAGAAGAAATACAAGCAAGACCAGAATTAGAACTTGCATTTGTTTGGAACAGATCTAAGGAAACCATGCAACAGAAACTGGATGAAAGGCTTATCTTAAATGATTTGTCCAAGTTTTCTGAAAGGTAACAATACAGTGTGGGTCATATCCACTCGGCAGTAGCCCCAGGTGGATGTAATGTTACAGTAGTGAGCTACATGTATATTATATTCTACTATATTCACCTATAGTTTAACTTGTAATGTATGCTTGCTGTATATGTTGAGCTATTCTTTATTAGAGATCTTGGGTCAAGGTCACAATGACATTATACACTGTATCTTGTAAACAAAACTGAACTGAATGACTCATTAACCCTTGACCATCCAGATAGTTCTAGAAATTATAACCATTCATTAAAATTTAATCATGTCACTAAAGATGTCCAATCAAGATGTAGTTCCAGAAGATTCGTTTCTGGATCATTCTTTCACATTATAAAAAGAACAGCACAGTGACTCTCATTAGCAGATAATTATAAGTCATCAACTGGACATCTCAAAGGAACTAAATAAAGCAGAATTTCAAAGTCTATCAAAAGGACATCTTCTTAGCAGATAATTACTGTGGGAACATTTATAACAGTGCAAACATACAACCTGAGGACTTTATATGGACATATATTACAACACACGGTATATACGGATTATCATAAACATTTGCGGATTATCATTAAACATTTGTGGATTATCATCAAACATTTGTGGATTATCATCTAACATTATTGGATAAGAACATTTGAGGATTACAACAAACATTATTGGATTATTACAAACATTGGAGAACTATTAACGATTATTGAAACATTTCGTGATCTGGATCATTCTCAAGGATCGTCAACGACATTTATCGACATCAAGAATAAGCCGTACCATTGATTGGACATCACTTAAGTATTAAACCTCCTTTATATTATTGTTATATTATTTAGTTTTCAAAGTATAAATATATTGTTATCATATTTTAATTGCTGTTTTTACTTTCTGTTAGTTTCGAACGTAACAGAAATTGGGGGCTCGTCCGGGATACAACTACAACAAGCTAAAATTCAAATATTTCAAAATTCAAAATCTAAAACTTGTAAATTTTAACTGTGAAGACAGCAATTAATTGAAAAATGAGTTTTGAGGTTGAGACATTTTTAGAAGCGCCCTCTTTGGAGGAATTTGATGATTTAAAGAAAACTGAACTTCTGGCAATTGCAAAACATGTTGGCCTGTCAGTCAAAAGCTCATACAAAAAGGATACAATTAAAAATTTTGTTCTTCAATATTTGGTCGCAGAAACACTTCTGCCTGAGCAGCCAGCCCAACATGTTGACCCTGTTGATCCTATTAAGCTTAAAGAGCTTGAAATAAGAGAGAAAGAATTGCAAAATGAAAGAGAAATGAGAGAAAAAGAATTAGAAATTCAAAAAGAAAGAGAAATCAGAGAATTGAGAGAAAAAGAATTAGAAATTCAAAATGAAAAAGAAAAAAGAGAGAGTGAAAAAGAAATAAGATTAAGAGAACAAGAAATGCAAATTGAAAAAGAAATAAGAGAACAAGAAATTCAAAAAGAAATTGAATTAAAACGGCTTGAAATAGAAGCTAAAAGCAAATCTGATGAACATGCTACTATGCATCAACATTTTGAAAATAGGTTTGACGCTTCAAAATTTCTCAAATTTGTACCTAAATTTCAGGAGAAAAATGTTGATAAATACTTTACACATTTTGAAAAAGTCGCTCAGAGCCTAGACTGGCCTAAATCTGCATGGCCAGTTATGCTCCAGAGTGTATTTATTGGAAAAGCAAGTGAAATATTTGCCTCTCTCTCTGGAGAAGTATGCTCTGATTATGATCTAGTTAAAAATGCAATTCTTAAAGCTTATGAACTAGTACCAGAAGCTTACAGACAAAAATTTAGAAATGCCCACAAACAGAGTGATCAAACCCATGTTGAATTTGCGCGAGAGCAAGAGCAGCTTTTTGACAGGTGGCTTGTCTCTAAAGATGTATCTGAAGAGTTTAAAAAGCTCAGAGAGCTTATGCTAATAGAACAATTTAAAAACTGTGTTCAGTATCACATTAGAACTTACTTAGATGAACACAAGGTAGAAACTTTAAGTCAAGCTGCCACCCTGTCTGATGATTATGCTCTTACTCATAAGGGTAGTTTTATCAAGGGCAATCCTAACTTTAGAGGTTATCAAGGTAACAAACCTTCATATGATACAAAATCAAACCAGTCCTCATCATCAAATACACCAAACAAAGCAAAAGACCAGTCTAATTCATCACAGAGTTTTAGCTCAAAATCTGATCAATCAAATTCTTCAGGTCCAAAATTAAATGTCACCTGTAATTATTGTAAAAAGCCTGGTCATCTTATTTCTGAATGCTATAGGATTAAGAATAGAAGAGAGATGTCTGGTTCTGCTCATTCAAATGGTTGTGCTACTGTTCCCATTTCAAGAAAGCCCATTGTTTGGGATTCATATACTCATACTGAGAAATCTACTCATAGTGATATTATGGAGGATTATAAGCCTTTCATGTCGGAAGGATCTGTGTCACTGTCAAGTGATGATACCAATTCAAAGCCTGTTAAGATTCTTAGAGACACGGGTGCATCTCAGACTTTGTTGTTAGAAGGCGTCCTTCCTTTATCTGAGGAGTCATTCACAGGTACCCATATTTTGATGCAAGGCATTGAATTAGGATTTACTAAAGTTCCCCTCCATCGTATTCATATCACATCTGAGTTAGTCAAAGGGCCAGTTATTGTTGGTGTTAGGCCACAACTTCCTGTTGAAGGAGTCGCATTGCTTTTAGGCAATGATTTAGCTGGGGGTAAGGTATCATTAGACCCCATTGTTTCTGATCAGCCTTGTTCTATTGAGGATTCTGTCCAAGAGGACTCTGATATATATCCTGCTTGTGCTGTTACTAGGGCTATGGCTAAAAGGTTAGCTAATAGCGGGGATTCGTCTGTGGGAGATGACTTTGATAGTGGGTTTTTAAGCTCCTTGTTTGATGATGAATGTCACTCACCACTTGTTAAAGATGGTCCTTATCCTATTTTAAAGGCAAATTCTTCATTGAAACAGCCTATTGTTCAAGCCAAGCAGCGATCTAATGAGGCATATTCTTCATTGAAAAAGCCTATTGCCAGGGGTGATTCACCTTCTGAGCAGGATCACTATTTTAATGCGGTTTCGCCCGCTCGTGCTAGTCCCGATGAAGTTTCATCTTCTTCTGCTAGTGTTCATGAGGTTTCATCTCCTCCTTGTTCTGAGGTTTCATCCTCTATTTCTGATAGTGATTCTTTGAAAAATGATCCTCATTCTAAACACATGTTAATTTATGAACAAGAGCATGATCCATCACTCATTGATCTTCATAAAAGATGTCTTACTATTGATGAAGCTGACAAGGTCCCTGTTTGTTTCTACAAAAAGGATGGCATATTAATGCGAAAGTGGAGACCTCCTGAAGCTTCCCCTGAAGACGATTGGGCAATTGTGCATCAAATTATTGTCCCAAAATCATATCATAAGGAAATCTTGAGTCTAGCTCATGATTCGCCTATGGCAGGTCATTTAGGAGTAACTAAAACATACCATAAAATACTCAACCATTTCTATTGGCCCAAATTAAAACAAGATGTCCAAGAGTATTGTAGGTCTTGTCATACATGTCAAATGGTAGGGAAACCTAACCAGAAAATTCCAACTGCTCCTTTACACCCTATACCTGCATTTGATGAACCATTCAGTAAGGTTCTTATTGACTGTGTTGGTCCATTACCAAAAACAAAATCTGGTAATCAATATTTACTCACTATTCTTTGTATGGCCACACGGTTTCCAGAAGCGATTCCACTTAGAAATATCAAAGCCAAAAACATAGTGAAATCACTCATCAAATTTTTCACCTTAGTTGGATTACCAAAAGATCTTCAGTCTGATCAGGGCTCAAATTTTATGTCAGGCTTATTCCAACAAGTCATGGATACCTTGGGTATCAAACAGTGTAAGTCAAGTGCCTATCACCCAGAGTCTCAAGGAGCTCTTGAGCGTTACCATCAGACGCTTAAGACCATGATTAGAGCTTTCTGTTTTGAATATGAGAAAGACTGGGATGAGGGCATACCCTTGCTTTTGTTTGCTACAAGAGAAGCTAAGCAAGAATCTTTAGGGTTCAGTCCATTTGAGCTAGTATTTGGTCATTCTGTGCGTGGTCCACTTAAATTGCTAAAAGAAAAGTGGCTGACAGAAACTGAAAAGTTTAATTTATTGAACTATGTCACTGGGTTTAAAGAGCGCCTATCAAAGGCTTGTGAAATAGCCAAAGAAAATTTGCTCAATAGCCAAGATAAAATGAAAACTTGGTATGACAGAAAAGTCAAAGAAAGATCTTTCCAGCCGGGTGACAAAGTTCTTATATTACTGCCACTTCAGACAAATCCGCTACAAGCAAAATTCTATGGTCCTTATGTAGTGGATTCCAAGGTCAATGACCTCAATTATATTGTCAAAACTCCAGATAGGCGCAAAGAAACACAATTGTGTCACATCAATATGATGAAAAAGTATGTTGAGCGTGATAAAATTTCTTTACTCAACTTGAGCTTGTGCTCTTAGCTCATAGGCCAAACTTGTATGTCAATGACAACTATACATGTATGTTATTCAAGAGTCAGATATTGTAAATTATAATGATTAACTCATGAAGATTATATTACTTGATAGGCAAATTAGAGATTTGTGATAACTGTCACTTTATTTTAACAATCAAAACATTTGCCTAAATAGTGAAATTGATATTATATTAACTATAAGATGGTATCTAGATTATGTGAGCATTATAGGTGATCATTAAATAGTGTCACAAGATTACTTGATAACCTCAGAGTGTACTATTAGAAATACTTACATAAGATCATGTGATAATTTAAAACATTGTACTAGTTTAGTGTTTGTCAGACTCAAAAATGTATGCTATTGTACATGTTATATGATCTATTGCGTGTATTGTATTTATGACTTAGTGCATAACTTATGTAGATATTATTGTAGTATGGGATTATAAGAACATTATATGTTATTAGATTGTACTCATACTGTAACGATAGAAAGTATTATATACTTGTAAACATACTGCATATAAAAAGACTATTGTAAACAAATATTATGTAAGTCTCAACCTCACTTTTAAAAATTGTAACGCTCGCTACTCAAGATATTATTGTAAAAGTTTTTCATTGCATTCAAAACTTTTCTTTTAAGGAGGGAGGTGTTACAGTAGTGAGCTACATGTATATTATATTCTACTATATTCACCTATAGTTTAACTTGTAATGTATGCTTGCTGTATATGTTGAGCTATTCTTTATTAGAGATCTTGGGTCAAGGTCACAATGACATTATACACTGTATCTTGTAAACAAAACTGAACTGAATGACTCATTAACCCTTGACCATCCAGATAGTTCTAGAAATTATAACCATTCATTAAAATTTAATCATGTCACTAAAGATGTCCAATCAAGATGTAGTTCCAGAAGATTCGTTTCTGGATCATTCTTTCACATTATAAAAAGAACAGCACAGTGACTCTCATTAGCAGATAATTATAAGTCATCAACTGGACATCTCAAAGGAACTAAATAAAGCAGAATTTCAAAGTCTATCAAAAGGACATCTTCTTAGCAGATAATTACTGTGGGAACATTTATAACAGTGCAAACATACAACCTGAGGACTTTATATGGACATATATTACAACACACGGTATATACGGATTATCATAAACATTTGCGGATTATCATTAAACATTTGTGGATTATCATCAAACATTTGTGGATTATCATCTAACATTATTGGATAAGAACATTTGAGGATTACAACAAACATTATTGGATTATTACAAACATTGGAGAACTATTAACGATTATTGAAACATTTCGTGATCTGGATCATTCTCAAGGATCGTCAACGACATTTATCGACATCAAGAATAAGCCGTACCATTGATTGGACATCACTTAAGTATTAAACCTCCTTTATATTATTGTTATATTATTTAGTTTTCAAAGTATAAATATATTGTTATCATATTTTAATTGCTGTTTTTACTTTCTGTTAGTTTCGAACGTAACAGTAAATATTTAGAGTCTAGTGAATTTCACGAAACAAAAATGGCGGCCATTTTGAAAATAGGCGAGCTTTTGAACCAAGAGTCATAAGGGAGTTTTTTGTATTGATGTTGAACAAAAAAAACTTAAAACGGGAATCCTATCGACAGAGATTTTAACACAAATGGTCCAAAAGTGGATTTCACGAGACAGTACAGCTGGACAAATCAGTGTTAACTAAAATGGCTGAAAATAAAAAAACGGATATAATTTTTCTGATTTTTTGTAACAAAATTATTTCATCATTGGATTTCAACAATGTAGGACACCTGACATTACATTTATTTGTAAAGCTAGGAAATGGGTCAAAAATGAATTTCACGAGACAAAAATGGCGGCCATCTTGAAAATAGGCGAGTTTTTGAACCAGTAGTCAGAGGGGAGTTTCCTGTATTGATGTTGAACAAAAATAACTTAAAATGGGAATCCTATTGACGGAGGTTTCAAAACGTGCCACTATTGTTGACGGACAGCGAACGCACGCACGCACTGACACACGGACAGACAGAAGGACAAGTGAGCGATTGCAAAAGCTCACCATGTGATCTAATAATAATAATAAAAATGAGATATTTGATAAAATATAAAGTCACTAAAGATTAAAGAAGAAAAAAACCATGCACATTACAATTGAAAAGGGAATGTCTACGTTTCAAGAATCATTGCCAAATATTGTAAAAATCAGAAAGAAAATCAGAATGAAATGTGATAAAGTGGAGGCATGACTGTTGAACTTTTTAGAAAAAGGACATGACATGGAATGTTGTTAGTAAAACATTGAAAACTGACAATTTTTTCCAAAGCTACCCTCGACACTTCTCTAGTCTTTCTTGCCCCTTTATATAACTTTATCTACAACTAAAATGTTTTGCATTGAAATTGCTGTATCACTCACCAGATTTCAACATTGAATAAAGTTAGAAATCTCTCGATAACAATTATTACATTATAGATTTGAGCTTATGTTGGAATGTCATTCATACTTTTGTACAAGTATTTGTAGATTTTTACTACATGAATTTCAAGACTTAATTCAAGTCCTTTTTATTCAAGGCCCTATTCGGGGGTGGGGGGTGTAGGTTGATTGTCATCAGGAAAATTTACATTTAGCGCTTTATGAAAATTACATGCAAAAAGTGAAAGGCCTTCATAATAAAATGTGATCAGAAAATGTATTTCTAGTTAAAATACCAAAGCAATATAGCAGCATCATAAAAATTCCCAATTGACATTTGGTGTAATAAAATAAAACAAACAAAACTGTAACCATGGAGTTCCTTGATCTGACCTCATATTTAAAAAATACTTATTATGACATCATAAACACAGGCATTAAAGTTTCATTTCTATTGTGATGTCATAAAGCAATAAATTGAATTGTTTCTAGGCACTTTGGACATAACAACCAAATCCACTTGTGATGTCATAAATAGACAGTTATTAGGTCCATTGTTTCATAGCAACATGAAATGTTTTATAGTGATGTCATGCATAACAATGCACATATTACCTGGTGATAGATGTTAGTTTCTATGGAAATACAAACAGAAAATAAATTGAGCTGTACATCAGTGAAATTTTACAGAAAAGTAAACATTCAAATACAAAGAGCAACAAATTATCATTAGAAATTAGAATGGCGCCACCAATGAACAAAAGCCACAAGTTAAGGAATGCGATGAGTCAAATCTGCTGTTGGACATCGACAGAAACAAGAAAATCCTGGAGACGTAGCAATAGAATTGTGCCTTTCATTGAACCAGAAATTGAAAAAGAGATTGAACTAGAAGAACAAAAAGATATCGGTGAAAACAATGCAGTTGTTGACTTGGATGCAATTGAAATAAAATATGAATGGCCTGAAATAGATTTCAACAAGTTTGGACAAAATGGTATCTACACTAAATCTTACTGTGATATGGAATATATACTTAGAATGTCACCAGTATATGACCCAGCATTTTCCATGCCTAAAAAGGACACACGCAACATATTCCAGAGAGCCCTCCATCGATTGAACAAAAGGGTAAGAATAAAAAATGTGACTGATATCAGGGGTTTCATGAGCAGCAGGCAGCAGGCAGGCAACATTTTCACCGTTTGTTTTCACAAAATCTCTTGTTGTTTTTAGGGACTTTTCAACTTTCCCACATTTTTTTAGATTTATGATTTCTATTAATTTTGCCCTTTGATTTCATTTATTTAGTCAGTTGTGAGAAATTCTAGTGAAACCCCTAGATATATACATGTATACTGTACTGTAAATGTGTACAATACATGAACATTTACTGAAACAAATTTGATGGTCTTTTGGTAATGATTGTGATAATGGTTTATTTGTAGTTTAGACCATTGGTTGAGATTTTATCTCCTTATACTAGTTGAAATATTTAAATGTTCTGTTTTCTCTGAGTTTTCAATACTTTAAATCATTACCCTTATGGAACTTGTACTATTCACATTTGAGCTAAACAAAATCAAATATTAAAATGTGTTGAATTCTATTTCCAGGCAAGAGAGGCCAAATATGCAATTTCCACTTCTTTGAGGATGAAATATTCAGAGAAAGATGGTTGCCAGCAATGCCTGGAGACAAATGATAAAAGTTCGAATAAAGAAATGTTCAGTTCTTTTTAAAAAACATTGAACGAGGAGTGTCAGCTGTGAAATAATCTGGACTTGGCCAGCTTCCCTGTTGCAAGATCCAATCAGGATGAAGCCCGGACCATCCCAGGGCATGTGATAAAAACAGGACTGTTGAAATAATTGTAGAAGGTTATGGCCACGTCTTCAATCTATTACTACTACTGCGAGATATTATCAATTGTATATATGTTATTACCAATGTATTATGTTATGTTATGTATATAGTTTTTATAGTGTAAATAAATTGTAAATATGTTCGTATGTTTATAACCAATATTGTGTACAGTAAATGGGGAGAAAGAGGCTTCACCCCCAAAATGCAATCTGATTTTCGACACCGTTTCGGTGCCAAATTTCGGTGCCGTTTCGGCAACAAATGGACTGACTAGTCCGGTAGCAAATTTTGGTGTCGAAAGGTTTCGGTGCCGGAACGGTGTCGAAATGGTGCCGGAACGGTGCCGAATTTGTTCGATGCCGAAACGGTGTCGAATTATATTGGCTGTGTAGTGGTGAAGTCAGAATTGTAACAATACAACATAAGACGTCATATCCATGAATATCCAAGCACAAGTGTCAAAGGGAAAGGACCAAAAGTTGTAATGAAACTTAGCAAGAAAAAGCAAACTCTAAGTGCATACCAGTCAAGAAAAACAGCCCCCATTGATTCATTAAAAAAACATCCTAATTAATGTGTTTCTGTTAAGGTGCCTGCCTCATGAATGGCTTAACACATGACTACACTGTATTTTATGTATAGTAAAACCTGTTTATATTGAATATTTTTTTACCAAGAAAAAATGTTCAGTGTTGGTAGGTGTTTACAACAGAGAGGATTATTTATACAGAAGTCAGTAGAGCATGTGCGGAGGAAGGGTGATCACTAGATACTGGTGTTTACTAGAGACAGGTGTTCATAAGACAGGTTTTACTGTATATATACATGTGCCTCCTAATTATTGATATTTATAACACATTTGGTCTTCATTTTTCATGAGATTTGCAAGATACAACAAATTTCTGAATCTATAAAACTATTTATTTTTTTATTAAGGCTTTAATGTTTTCCCTATATTTCAGAAATGCTGATATAATTGTTGAGGTTTGCCATCCAAAAATATCAGAGCAGTATGGAGAGAGTTTCTTGGAGAATGCAGATTATATGGTAAGATGATTTTATATATAATATGTATATCATACAACTTGGTCTTCCAAGCATTAGAGCAGGTGTGTATTGCACAAACTTTGGATTTTGAAAAAAGGTGTGTACCCACTTAAAAATAATCCATTTGCAGAAACAATTTGAAAACTTGCATATTTTGACTACAGAACTGTGAATGTGAGAACTTGAGAAACAGAAAATTGAAACTGAACCTAGATTCATGAATTCCTTTTTGTCATGTGAGCCATGACCATAGCCAGCTTTTGCTAAGGGGGTTCACATTTGACAACTTTGGTACAAAAATTTCCAGAATCATATGTGCTTAAAACATAACCCCCCCCCCCTTGCTACGGGCCTGTGAGTCAACTGAATAGTGCTATTGTCATATGTGCAAAAGAACATGTCCAAGAGACACCTCATATCCAGAGAAAGATAAAGAAATATGCAGGACATTATAATAGAGAAAAAGGCAGATTGACCTTTGAAAACAGGGCAAAATTGTTTATGGTTTGAAATATTGTTTTAAAAGTTAATTCAACCTAATTGCGAGTGTTTTGAAGATAAATTGTACTTATGACATTTCTTAGGTCAGCATGTTTTTATCACACCACTGATTTGGATTGTGGTATTAAGTCGAAATAACTGTTGACTGTTGTTCAGTATTCTTAGTTCTGTGTTAAAAGATGTGCTGACTTTGTTTGTACATGAAGTTTGAGAAGAATCATGAATTTAAAGGACATCAGATTGCTTCTATTGGCTTTATGCTGGAGGTTAATCTCCGTGAATTCCTCTAGAATATTATTTCTTCCTCTTGACCACTACAATCATGTTAACTTGCATCAGAGCTGTCAAGTGTCCCGCGAATGGCGGGATTATCCCGCGAATTTGATCAAAATTAGGCTAATTTGCGTGTCCCGCAATGTCCCGCGAAGTCCCGCAAATGTCGGCCTTGACCTCCGCGAATTTCCGAAATTGTTGCAATCCCCTATATTGTGATTATCTTATCTTATGTAAGAAGTTTTTGCACTTTTGAGGAGTAAAGTTTACCTAACTTTAAGTACCCATCATGCTTTTGTTTGGTATCAAAATAAAGAGGAGGGGTTCAACTTTCATTTTAATTACGATAATAGGGATGTAGGTCATAAATAGTTCCAACGTTGGCCTTTTTACTACGCGTGTGGCAAATGAGAACTGAGCAAATGTTAGCAAACGCGAGTTACAATAAATGGACGCTGACATCTAGAAAAGTAACCTGACTCTCTATAATTTGATGTAGATTAATTGAACCCCTATATCATGGGCTTTCAATTGAAAGCCCATGCCTATATGAACAGGTAATATATATATAATACAGGGTGGTCCAAAAAAAATGGGACACTCGTATTTCAAAAATAAATATTGGTTTTCTTGATGAAAACATGTCATGTTATATACCAATGGATAGGGAATTTACTTATCTTTAATTTGTTATATCATAAGTTCAAATTTATTAGAATGTCTGTCAACCAGCGTCCATAATATAAATGACGTCATTTTCATTTCAAAACGGCTTTTTCCAAAACTTGCAAAAACCAAGTTTTTGTCAACTTTATTTACATAAACAGACATTCAATATGTCCATCATTTTGATCAATTATAGCCCTCAATTTTGGCCTAAACTGGTCAATAGCATCATTGATGTGCTGTTGAGACAATGAATTTCACTTCTCAATAATTCTGTCCTTCAGGGACTGAATAGATGTAAAGGATTTTATGGTTCACTAATTCTATTAGTTCTCTCCATACGTGGTAGTCGCAGAGGTTGGGTGATCAGGATCTGGGGAGGCAGTGATTAAGGGGGAATGAATCTAGGCACATTGTCTTTTAAACATATGACACTCTTGTGGAATTTATTGCTTAGAGCCCCATCTTGTTGGGAAATGTAATGATTCCAAAATGAGCTCAGATCAGAATGGTCCAAAAACATCATTATTGGATCATCCGATATCAACATCTGCGACAACCAAGTATTGGGAGAACTAACAGAATTGGCTTATCATGAACCCCCTACATCTACTCAGTCCCTTTTAAGTATAGAATTGTTGAGAAGTGGAATTCATTGTCTCAACACCATACCAATGATGCTTGTGACCAGTTTAAGCCGAAATTGAGGGCTATTATTGATCAAAATAGTGAACATATTGAATGTCTGTTTATGCAAATAAAGTTGACAAAAAACTTGGTTTTTGCAAGTTTTGGAAAAAGCCGTTTTGAAACGAAAATGACGTCATTTATATTATGGACGCTGGTTGACAGACATCAAAATAAATTTCAACATATGATATTCAAAATTAAAGATGAGTAAATTTCCTATCCATTGGTATATAATATGACATGTTTTCGTCAAGAAAATCAATATTTATTTTTTGAAATACGAGTGTCCCATTTTTTGGACCACCCTGTACTATGGGGGAAAGCGTTTCATAGTTGGTCACGGACGCCATAAGTGCAAAGTATTGTTCAGAATTTTTGAATTTCGTGTTCGATTATGGGACTCACACCTGAAGCATGGTTTTTGTTTTTGATAAATAACAATAAAGTTTAATAATATTCTTATGCGTATTTTGTGGAATTGTGTTGACGTTTATTTAAGTTACAATTTAAGTGTATTATATTTGATTAATCAGTATCTGAAAGTTTGATTGGAGTACTTTTACCAATCACGCAAATCCCTTGCATGTCCAGGGACATCCTGCAAATTTAGGTGGATGTCCCGCAAAATGCCGCAAATTTAGGGTGCTTGTCTAAAAAATCTGTCCCTTTATGAAGTCTTTGATGGTTAAACTGTTAACTGTCCCGCAATTAGGTTGTTTGTCCCTCGAATGGTCCCGCGAAATCCCGCGAATTTGATAAAAAAAGGCCTATTAGCGCAATCACGCAAATCCCTTAAAAGTCCCGCGAATTTAGTAGATGTCCCGCAAAATCCCGCGAATTTTGGGCACTGGGTCTAAAAAATCTGTCCCGCGAGAAAATCTTTGGGGGTTGACAGTACTGTTGCATGCAGTATTTGGAGAAAAACTTGGTTCTGAAGGACATGATGTGACCATTCTTATGGCACCAAGGATGAAGAAAATTTTGGAAAAATACTCAAAAATGGAATGTTGGTACTATAATTTTGCATCATTTTGGGAATACGATAACATGGAAGATAAAGTGAATGAAATTGCAATTGATATGGGATCTTTTGCCAAAATCAAGCTGCTCAAAGGATTTGCTGAAAAAATTTATGCGGATCAAGAGAAACTTCTTGAAGATGAGGAAATGACATTAAGAATATCTGACGCAAAGTTTGACCTGATGATTTTAGATGGAATTCACACCAACAGCATTCAGTACATTATACCATACCGACATGATGTTCCATTCATAACTCTTTTTCCATTACCAGAACCATTGCGTGCAGCCGTACCCTCATTACCTTCTTCTGAACCACATTTTCATTTCTCAGGATCAGATCACATGACCTTCACTCAGCGAATCAAGAATTTTCTATTGACTCTGGCATTCTATACCTCAATGCCAACTTTTTCAGATTCCCATTTTGAGGAGTTATTGAGAAAATATGTTCCTCATGAGCCGCTGATTTGCATTGGTGATTTACATCGAAAATCCGAGATGTGGTTTGTCATGATGGAACACCACATATTGGAATATCCCCGTTTGTCACATCCTGCTTATAAAATAGTAGGAGGCTTTACAACAAAAAATGTTCAAAAATTACATGTTGGTACTATAATTTTGCATCATTTTGGGAACACAATAATATGGAAGATAAAATGAATGAAGTTGCAATTGATATGGGCTTTTTTGCCAAAATCAAGTCATTCAAAGGAATAGCTGAAGAGATTTATGGGGATCAAGAAAGGCTTCTTGAAGATGCAGAAATGACATTAAGAATATCTGACGCAAAGTTTGATTTGATTATTTTAGAAGGAACTCACGCCAACAGCATTCAATACATTATACCATACCGACATGATGTTCCATTCATAACTATTTTTCCATTACCAGAACCATTGCGTGCAGCCGTACCCTCGTTACCTTCCTCAGAAGCACATTTTTATTTCTCAGGATCGGATCACATGACCTTCACTCAGCGAATCAGGAACTTTCTCTTGACACTGGCATTCTATTCCTTGACGCCATCTTTTTCAAGTTCCCATTTTGAGGAGTTATTGAGAAAATATGCTCCTCATAAGCCACCGATTTGCATTGGTGATTTACATCAAAAATCTGAGATGTGGTTTGTCATGATGGAACACCACATATTGGAATATCCCCGTCTGTCCCATCCTGCTTATAAAATAGTAGGAGGCTTTGCAGCAAAGAATGTTTCACCATTAAAAGGAGATCTTTCAACATTTGTTGGCCAGGCAAAGCATGGGACAATACTCCTATCATTCTGGTCTGCAATTAATTCATTCCCCAATCACATAATGTCAAAACTAATGGAGGCATTTTCACGCATAAATCAACATATTGTAATGAGATACAAAGGTATTGCACCACTTAACAAACCTTCCAATGTGATCTTAATGGAATGGGTGCCCCAGAATGATATTTTAGGACATCCCAATACAAAACTGTTTATCACGCATGGAGGTAACAGTGGCCAATTAGAAAGTGTTGCCCATGCTGTACCAATGATCACTTTCCCTCTTGTTCTAGACCAGATGCATAATGCTGAACGTGCAAAGGCTAGAGGCTATGGACTTGTTATGGACTTTAACACTTTCACATCTGATGAACTGGTACAGAACATAAATGAAATGATTGATAATAAAACATACAAAGATAATCTTCTCAAAGCGAAGGCTATCTTAGATGATCTTCCTGATCCACTTCAGGAAATTGCATTCTGGGTAAACCATGTGCTGAAATTTGGTGGTTCTCATTTGAAACCAGTTTCGCTGAACATGCCTTGGTACCAGTGGTTAAATGATTGATATTCTCCTAGTGTTTTTATTGTTCAGTTTCATTTTGTATCACATTTTAAAGCACTGTTGTAGGCTAGTTTGGAAAGCCTTGAGTTTGAAAGCAAAGGAAAAGACTGATTAGCAAATAACTTGTTAAGAGTGAAAGTTAAATCAATAGTCAGTATAACATAATTTTATTGATTATAAGCCAATGAAAAAATTACAAGTAAAAAAGAATATAAATACGTGTGTATTATGAATAGAATAGATATATATAGATTATCCTGTGTGAGGTGCTGGATGTTGGAATTATTCCAAGGGCAATATAAGATATCTGGAAAAGGGCCGTAGATTTGTTGAATAGTTTCGAGAGATTTATTGGTGAAATGTTTCTAGACAAATGAATCATAATGAATTAGTGACTCGTTAAACCATAAGGAAACTGTAAATATTTGAACATTTTAACATAGGCACATCTTTAATACAAAGCCCCCTCTCTAAGATACATGTGAAAAGCATCAGGTGGGAATAGTTAACCATTGAAAACTGTAAAACTATATGTGCCTTTTTGGTTCCTTCAGGCCTTACCAAAAAGGATTCGTGAAATAAAATTATATTATTCATATGACTAATCACTCCTATTTAAGGAACCACCATTAGTCTATATTATTAGTGTGCATGTATATCAGTGTGTTCTAATATACATGTTTATCAGGTCAATCTTTTTTAAAGTCTCAAAATGTATCTAAAAAGCACCAAAATGTGATATATGCAAAAAAGAATCAGCAAGATGATACCTAAAATAAGGCAGATAATATCCAAAAGGAAATATTGAAATATGTTCAGTTTATTTATGCCTTCAGATCTCAGGTGATTTGCACCGTTGTGTTGAATTACATAATTGACCCAGTATACAAGTTTGTCACGAAGATCCATGGGCTGATCATGATAGAGGGCAGCACCTTTTCTGGCATTCTCCCTATAGATGGCAGTGTTAATGACATCCTCCATTGCACCTTGGAGTGTCTCACTTGTTAAATCTAAAGGGTTTAAGGTCAGTCCAGATCCTACACGGTTTGTCAGTTTCTCGCAATTGTATCTCTGATCAAACAAAAATGGAATACCAATATAAGGCAGTCCATAACTGAGGGCTTGATAGGTACTGGACACTCCACAATGGTGCACAAATAGTTTCACATTGGGATGGACTATTAAGTCGTTCTGTGGAATCCATTCATCTATGACTGTATTTGAGCCAAGGTTATCAGGTTTAGGTCCTGCATAGCTCCATATGACTCGTTGGGGCATTTTTCCAAATGCCTTGGCAAGTAGGTTCACCTGAATCATGGGGAGATAGCGTAAAGATGAGCCGAAACTTACAATTATAGCGCCATGTTCATTCGCCTTATTCAAAATATCATTATATCTGTCAGGCAATGGTTTGTGTTTATCAAGAAAGAATGCTTCGATGGAAACAACATGGGGCATAAATGGAGCAGGGTAATGTAGAACATCGCTACGAAACATAAATACAAGTGAAACTGTTTGATAGAAATTGATGATATTGTCACACGAAGAGTAATTTAATCCATGTTTCAGGCAAATATCCCGACCACTTTTCATTATGTAATCCCCCATTTGATGGAGTTTGATACTTTCCCAAGTATTCATGATTCGTTCCCAAAATGTCATAGTATCACTATAGTTTGTATGTAGCGCAATAGGCATGTATGATGGGTTGAAAGGGTAAAGTGTATTCGACATGAGAGAAAATGGCCCCATGTTAAGACACGTAATCACTGGTATATTTAGGTAATCACCAAGGACTCTTGATACCAGAACATGATCATCAGCGATTATTAAATCAAACTGTTCCTTATTTATTGCCTCCAAAGCATCATGATCACCCAAAATTGCATTTAGACTTCCGAGGAACACTCCTGATAATTGCATTAACAATTCTGATGCTGGCATTCCAATTGTATTCATCATAAATTCAGTTGCCTCTTTTGCTGAAGCTAGCTGCAATCGTTCAACAGGAGGTTCTTTATAAGTGATCACATTAAATGCTTTATTAGCATGATGATCTTCAACTAGTTTAAACAATGTTTGATTGTGTATTGTATTAGAGTATAGCATGGTAATGTTATGTCCATCCCTTAGCAGGATCCTTCCAAGTTTGAACATGTTCATCATTCTGCTGTTGTAGCCTACATCTACAGGTGTGATCAAAATATTTGCTCCTTGGCAAGCGATAGTGAGCCAACAAGCAATATATAACTTCAAATCCCAATGATTAAGCACCATTTTTAAGATGAAAACACTGCGCCAAATGTGAAGTTCCAAGCAATTTCTAGACGTGCAGAGCTAGTCTGGAAAATCCGTGTTACTAGAGATTTCAAGACGTGTCAAGAGGTGTAAAGACCTTGCGTGTACAGAACGTGTCAAGAGTTTAGATATCTCTTTGCACTGCCTTATCAAAACAAACAGTATAATAACTTTGGTGCCAATCCGGGGGTTCACTGTGTACAAAATTTGGCAGGGGTCCTAGGCTGAACCCTCAGATATCAAATTCCCATACCAAAATGTCAAATTTGAATGTGTTCCCATACCGACCGATATAGTGCCCAAAACCCATCCCAAATGCCCAAATATGAAATCAATGCCATACCAAATGTCAAAATATAGGCCCAATGCCCTACCAATGCCATGACTGGTCCAAAGAAGAATATTTCCTGGGAAAAAAAGCTAATTATTTAAACTGAAGAAGGTCCCAAGAAGAAGGCGATCTTTGAGGAAAACCAGACCAATTCCATACCATAATTGTGAGATAACATATTTTCCATGACTATTCTCATACCAGAAAGTTGAAAAATCTGACCATTTCCATCCCCCAAAAGTTAAATGAGAGGGCATTCTCATACCACATCCTAAAATTTGGGTCCATTGCCATACCAAATGTTCAAAAAGGTACCCCATGTGCGCCGAGGATCCCCGTCAAGGTTTATATACAGTGAACCCCCCGGGGGTGCCAATAAACACACTTTCTTATCAACATACTGTCAACTTTACATAACAATATTCGAGTTCTAAACTAATTATTTATTCATGACGTAATCCAATGTATGAATTACACTGTACGAAATGATTACACAGTACATCAACTTATTCCCGGGAACACTCTCACCTGTATGGAGCATTTACATATATATCAATAATATGACATCTCCCCTTTTTAAGTATGTGTGAAAACTCAAGAGTCTATAAAGCATGAATAATACAAAAGCACATTTTATAAAAACAGTCTTTTGAACAGTCTTTTATATCAATGCATCACACTGCATAATATGCTGTAGTGTCAAGTCACTCTGAAGTATAATAAACATATCGATGATTAAAATGCAACACACTGCATTATGTCAAATCATATTTCAAATGCAACACACTGCATTTTGTCAAATCATATTTCAAATGCAACACACTGCATTAAATATCAAATCATATTTCAAATGCAACACACTGCATTATATCAAATCTTAACTCTTAATCTGAAGCATGTTTATCATAACATAATGTCAATCAATTAGCATACCTGGCTGGTTTGTTAACCTCTAGTCCTGACCTTGACCTAGTCTGAATGACTCTCTGAGTAGGTACTGTATTATGTCTGGGTGACATAGTGGTACTGGGAACAGTAAACTGTGCACTATCTTTAGTGTCACGATACACACTTGTATTGTTTTGACTATCCATAGACACATCTACAGGTTTGTGAACTACTGGACTTGATATACCAATCTGTTCTGATGGACCCTGATTTGTGTCACTGTTATGTAAAATTGGTTTTGACTTACAAAATTTGTAAATCAGATTATCATCATTATGTGGACTTGGACTTCTGGATCTGTGGTATAAGACTGGTTTGGGACTAAATGTACTGGCACTTTTATGACTGGGACTTGGAATTGCCATTATGTGACGCCTGTTACGTCTGTAAGTTCCCTTAGGAGTCTCAACAATATATGACCTAGGTGAACTATGTTTACATTTGACAACACCTCTTGTTTTCCATCCCTTTTCCTGGTCAGTTTTCAATAAAACTTGTGAACCCGGTACTAGTTCAGTCAAAGGTCTCACTCCATGATGTTTGTCATAATTGGTTTTGTACATATTCTTAGCAGTCTTGTCATTTAAGGCTACCTGTCTGAGATTAGGCCATTTCGGGTTGAGATTGCTAGGCAGTGTAGGGACTGTAGATTTGATTTGTCTACCCATAAGCAATTGAGCTGGCGATGCTCCAGTCGCAAAGTGAGGCGTAGCGCGATAAGTTAATAAAGCTAGGTAAGGATCTTCCTGACACAAAATACGCTTCAAAATCTGGACTCCCCTCTCAACCTGACCATTTGCTTGACTAAAATGTGGACTTATTTAACTTGTACAGTGAATAAAATTGTACCTTTCCGCAAATTCTTTGAACTCTGCACTGGTAAATTGCGGACCGTTATCTGAAATGCATGTTTCACAAACACCGAATCTTGCAAAAATAATCTTCAATCTGTCTATGACACTTTTTGCAGTTGTGTTTTTGTTCATTTTAGCAATTTCCGGATAACGCGAAAAATAATCTACCACTACTAGCCAGTGGCAATTTTCATACTCACATAAATCCACAGCTATCTTGGACCATGGACGCTTGGGAAGAACTGTAGGCATCAAAGGTTCCTTCCTCTGTGTACTTTTGATTGATTGGCAATGTTCACATTTTTCTATCATGACTTTTATTTGTGAGCTCATACCTGGCCACCAAACTGATTGATTGGCTCTACTCCAGCATTTTGTAATACCAAGGTGACCATCATGAATTCTACTCAAAATCAAGTTTTGCATACCTACTGGTACGACCACTCTATTTCCATGAGTTATTAAACCATTGTATAGGCTCAAAGCACTCCGCTCGGGGAAAAATGGCTTAACAACCGGGGGAACGGACTTGATATTTTCTGGCCATCCATGCGTTACATAATCACGCACACGCAGTAATACAATGTCTACATCTGTTTCTACTCTGATTTTCTCAAGCAAGTAATCCGCAATCGGTCTAGCACTATCTATCGACGCGGGATACTGCTCTATATCTTCATGAGATGTGTCAAGAGATTTACCTACCTCTATTGGATCCCGACTAAGCATATCTGCCACATGCATGTCCTTACCTGGAACATATCTAGCAACTGCATTGAAACGCATCAGCCTGATCAACAATCTTTGACATCTAATCGGTACTCTGTCTAAGTCTTTGATATTAATCAATGGTACTAAGGGCTTGTGATCTGTCAATACTTCAAATCGATCGAGACCAATGAGAAACCGTTCAAAACGTTCAGTTGCCCATACCGACGCGAGACATTCTTTTTCTATCTGTGCGTACTTTTTCTCACTATCATTAAGACTTCTCGAAGCGTAACAGACTGGCTTGAGGCCATTTGAATGTTCCTGAAACAAACACGCTCCCATACCATAACTACTACTGTCCGCACTTACAATTGTAGGTTTATTAGGATCATAGAACGCTAACACGGGAGCACGGGTGACCAATTCCTTAATTTTGTCAAAGGATTCCTGCTGGGCCAACTCCCATGTGAAACTTACCTCTTTCGGCAGTAGCGCATACAGTGGGGCAGCTATCGTAGCCATACCCGGGATAAACTTTCCAAGATAATTGGCTGTACCCAGAAATCTCCGTAATTCTGTGACATTTGTAGGTACAGTGAGCTTCAGTATAGCTTGCACATTGCTATCTGACGGACTAATTCCATCTTTCGTAACTGTATGTCCAAAGAAAGTAACATGCGACTGACGGAATTTACATTTCTTCTTATTAAGCTTGATTCCTACCTTCTTGAGTGTCTGCATAACACGTTCCAAACGCTCATCATGTTCAGCTCTGTCCTTGCCATGGACTATCAAATCATCTATGATATTTTCAACACCTTCATGGTTCTCCAAAATTCCGGCCATTACACGCTGATACAACTCACTCGCGAACGAAAGTCCAAACGGAACGTGGTTAAATTTATATCGACCAAATGGGGTCATGAAAGTTGTTAAATATGAACTTTCTTCATCTAACACTAATCCCCAAAAACTATTGGACGCATCTAGAGTTGTAAACACTGTAGAGCCCTGCATTTTGTGAAACAAATCCTCAGCAGAAGGCAACATGAATTTTTCATTTTTCACAGATTTATTCAAATTTCTGAGATCTACACATATTCTAGGTTCTGGATCTGACTTCTTCTCAACAACAACCATAGGAGCACACCATTCTGTTGGCTCTCAAGTTTTTTCAATTTATCTTGTACACGCGGCATCATAGGCAAACTTACCCTTCGCGAAATACTCACACTGTACGGCTGGGCATCATCCTTCAAATTTATCTTGACAGGGTCAGTTTTAATTTTACCAATCTCACCATACATTTCAGATGATGTTTCAATTGACTGAACACGCCGAACCAAACCCATCCCGATGGCACATCCCCTCGATAAAAGACTCATGTCTGAGGTCATGTCAGCTACATGTATATCTGTCTTAAAACGTTTGTTGTCTAAGTCAATTGTCCCAGAAAACTTAACAGCACAGGCTACATTACCACCTGGACTTTTAAGTTGGACCTTGGAAGGTTTAAGGACAGGGGGCTTATCAAAAGATTCAAACACACATTGGGGCATAACAGTAACATCGGCACCTGTGTCCAGTTTGAACATGATTGGTTTACCATTTACCCTGAGTTCACTCACCCATGGTGGTTCCTTGTTGTTGATGTCAATCACACCGACCTCGTCAACACGAAAATCTTGTGTAGGCTCATCATCATGCTGGAATCTCGGCTTAGGAATATCACCAACCGGATACATATCGTCACAGACAATCTCGCCAATGAATGCCTGGTAATAATCGTCATCTTCATGTTGATCACTATCACAATCAAGTATTTCATGAATGTTTTTGCGCTTATCCATTGACTTTTGGTTGCGTTTGTTGCAACATCGTTTGTAGTGGTTCATGCCACCACACTGTAAACATGTTTTACCATATGCACCACACTCCCTAGGCTTGTGTGTTAACGCACACTTCTTACACTTGAATGCAGCTGATTGTGATTGTCCCTTGGACTGTGTTGTTGACCTTTTCGACCTCCTAGACCTGGTGACGTCATCCAGATTCTGCGGGGTTTCCGACTTCAGATGCACGGGTGCGACATGCTCTCTGATCCGCGCCATTTCAATCACCTTGGCAAATGTTAATTTGCTATAGTCCATTATCTTTACCTTTTCTGATAAATCTTTATTGTTCATACCGTTAACAAACTGGTGCAAGAGTTCACGTTCAGTATTA